TTAAGATGGGCCTTAGGGAGATAGGAATCTATGGAGCCAACTGGATGCCGCTAGCTCAGCAAAGTCCGGTGGAGGGCTTTTGTCGACACGGTTATGAGCCTTCGGGTTCCACAAAGAAAGAGGGCTATTCTTTGACTAGCCGAGTACACCATCGACTTTTCAAGGAATTTCCTGCACCGTACAAACCTTACTTTTGAGCGCTGGTGCAGTGGAGTTCATAAAACAAGTTAGCAAGTGTTCGCATAGCATGACAGTTTTGGCTCTTCGCCAGGATTTGACTTCTGTCAGATGAAATACACCTATTTCTGGATTTACGAACTTCAGAATTACAAATTTTTGCTACAATGAACTATATAAATTTGTACCTATTTTAAATTTACGAACATTATTTTCGCTACGACGATGAAACACACCTTCGTTTGAGGGCTGAGTGTCAGTTTCGTAAGTAGAAACGCGGAGGAATACAGGAAGTTCTGATAATCATCATAGAACTAAAGCCACTGCTGTACAATGTAAACGTTTGATATAACACTCCAGTAGTGTTTTACAGGGTTAAATATTAATAACCGCAACAAAAATGTAACACAGTTCTTATTTTTATGATGATATAATATTGTAACATGTGGGAAAAATTATTGAGTGATTTTTCTTCGGGTGGGAATACATCATTTGTTACATTAAAACTAATGGGAATTCCGAATTTTCACCTTAACGAACAGTTTCATCGAGAGAATTAAGTTCGTAAATCGAGGCATGGATGTACCTGTAACAGAAGAGCATTGTTTGTAGCTTGGTAATTATGAAGAAAGAAAATAGGTGTTTTTGGTCGATATGTAAAGTCCCGCTATTGTTAGCGTATTTCAACCGACATTGTGATGGCTCGACAATTTTTCGTGAAACTCGTCAATATAGAATGTCATTAAAATTCTTCCAGCCGTTTTCGAGTTGACATATGAGTACCGGTCCACAAGGTAGCGAATGTCTAGGAACTGCTTATCGTCCTATACGGGACTGTAACTAGCCTGTGTATTATAACCTACATTAATTATTTGGTCACAGTCGCGGACTAATCTCGGGGTATGGAAATGGAGAGTTACTTTGGGTGAACGCACTGGGGAGGATAATCAGCTTAACTTGTTGAATTATAAATCACAATGTGAAAGAGAAAACATGGATGGGCTTTATTTGTATGCGTCTTATGCACAAAGGGGCCTTCCTTAAATTAATTTCGTGGTGTAGGATACACACAATTACTAAGCTGTCCAACAAACCTCCTGATTTTATAGAACCGGATTGTTCGTTACTGTCTTCACAAAACCCCACCCCTGGACTCTATATACTGAGCCAACTGAATTTAATCACGCATCATTTCTTTAAGAATCGTTTTATTATTGCCATCTCCGAAACGCTTACATTTTCCAGTTCGTCTCTTCACCAGAGTTTTGTGTTTTTCTCATTCCCATCATCAATGGCACAAATCCCAAAACCTCTCCTTCCTTGATGTAATAATCCTAATAGGCCTATACAAATATTTTTAATCACATAACATTATGGCGAAGATGGTTAATCAAGGAATTGAAATTAAATATGTATTGAGGAGATAAGTTTATGGCCTCGTTAATGGTACGCACCTAGCCATATTTCTGCACACGCAAGCTACTCAAATGAGCCTAAGACTGACTTGAAAGTACATAATTATGAGCAAACCCAAGATAAATACGCATTAAAAATAAAACAATGGAAATACTTCACTCTTGTTCTCTTCACATCTACACTTAATCGGCACGTGGTTCAACTCTTTTTAGCTTCGCCGTGTCTGCATGCAATAACATTTTGCATTGTAACACCAGCCCGATTCACAACCGAGGACGGGTTAGAACGGCATCCAAGTGGTGATGTCAATTGGACAGTTAGTCCCGTTACGTGTGACAGCAGCCTACGTGACAATCAGGCTTACCCTAGCTTTTAAGATTGTTTCCTAACAGTTCTGAGAATTATTGGTAGGTCACGTACAGCTCTAGCAACTAGTGGTGTATTGGAGGTTACCAGGACCGACAATTAGTGTGGATTCCTTATTTCTGGTTAAGGAACGTCGGAAAAGACCCACAGAAATTAGTAGAAAATGTCAAAGTCGACCAGTTCAAACCTCGGTACAAGCAGACGACCAATGAGAGTCCTCACAATTGTCGAACGATTAGAAAGATGTTTTGAGTCTATATTCCTATGAACTACCCTTTTTCAAACATAGTGGCCTCTACTTTAATCTCCTACGCGTCGCAGTTCATATCACACGCTCTCTCCACCATGTTTCGATTCAAGTCGCGTATCTAAACTTTTTCCATCTACAAATTGTTTCAGCTTCAATCAGTCCATTCTAAACCGCGATCGCACGAGCAACAACTGTGTATTCTTAGTAAAGTGTTTGTGAAATACTATGAAAATTCGTTTATTGTGTAACCGGTGTGTATAAAGCGTGTGTGTTCTAATAATACAGTGAACAGATTTCACTGTGACGGAGTGTCACTGCAGAGCTGAATAATCGCAACTGCCTCCCGCGACATCAGTCAGTGTCTCTCAACAACACGCCCTCACGTCCTCTGACCCACGATCGATCCAGAGCAATCCTTGTATTCGCCCTGAGGTAATACCAGTCTTACCCACAAACAGCTTAGGCAGCCTATATATATCCCACGCCCAAGAAAACCTACTATTTGAACTTGACTCCGAAGGGAGGAGCAGCTAAGATTCAGACTACCGAAATTCGACAAGAAGGCTGCAACCAGGCAGAGCGATCTCGAGGACCTGGACACAACCCTGTAATGATTTGCATAAATTTACTGTGAGAGGGTCAGGTTTACAATCACTTGATAGCAATCGACCTTCATACTTATCAAGTGCACATAACTAAGCAAATATAAATGAGGGTATTAAAAACAAGTTAGCAAATGTGTGCATAGCATAACAAGTCTGGCATGGCATCTGAGTGGAACCAGTAATAACAACTGTCTAAGGTCAATGAATGGTCAGAGTGGCAGCTTGTACCTGCTGACACCACTGGGGATTCCCCACATTTTATGCAGCATGGTGGGGATTCCTTACCCAGTCACTTCTGGGCACAGATCTACATGTGTCTTCATGTAAAGTGCCTATTATTGTTCTCCGATTTTAATTAAAATCTGAATGCATCAACAAATTTTAGTAAAATTCTCCAGTATCAAAAATTAGAAAATCTGTTTAGCAGTTCTCAAGATTTTACAAGAGACAGACAGACAGACATGGCAAAGCAACTTTCAGTCGCAAATATTCTTAAAAGTTTGTCAACGAGGGAGAATATTTCTTTCTACTCTCCCCTGCTTAATGCCACTGTTATCGCAAGAAAAGTGCGTGATTACCAAAAAATTGTATCAAATTTATGGAGTCAGGTCACATTTTAATTACTATGAAAGGGTTAATAATGTTACTTAGAACCAGAATTACTTTTTCTACAAAATATTATATTTCATAAAAATACAGATTATGCAAGTCCAAATAAACATACGTTTAATGTATAGTATCACACTATTCCGAAGCTAAAAAAATTAAGCCACGTGAAGGAAGCCATTTAAAGCAAATACAAAGACAGTACGGAACTAATAAAAAGTTAGTTGGCAAGACACTTCCTCTACAGCATGATAATGAACTTGTTCTAAGAAGATTTCTATCTTCTGGGTTGTTGCGCTGTGTAGTCTGGTAAAAGTTTACCAAAATTTCAGAGGTCCTTGCTGCCTCTATCATCAGGGCGATGATGACGGAGGCAGTATGACCTCTGAAACGTTGATAAACATCGACCAGACTACACAGTGCAACAACCCAGAAGACAGAAATCTTCATACTCACGGCTGTGAAAACCTCAAATCATACAACTTGTTCTAAACTCATGAAGTTATCAGAATCACTCACACACATTTCTGCCATAACTTTTCCTGAAGTAGTTTAAATTAAATACATAAAACATTAAAGGAAAGTTTTCAAGGATGTGTTCATACATACTTTACAATGACAGAGATTTAAACTTTAAAAGCTGCATTTTTATTTATTTATTTATTTACAAATTGAAACATACACTAACATCACTGCACAAGCGGCATCTCTTGGATTATTATCTAAAACTATATACACGCACACACATTTTGACTATACGTAAATCAATTCAACAGACATGTCTTTAAGAACAACGTAAGCTGAAAACAGCTCTGAGATCAAAACACCATCGCTTAGATGGACAGCATTTTGAATGTTAAAAACACCCGGAAGTGGAAGGAACGTCATTGTGTGACAAATTCCAAAACATAAAAATAACATTTTAAAATCACAATCACAATAATTTCTGCTACTGTAAAATAATACTATTTGTGTAAAAATAATAATTTCGCAGAGCACCAATTATTAAATTCATACACCGTAAATTCTCAGCGCTGACAATTTAAAATACGAGGGACGTCCACAAAGTAAGTTTCCCAATCGTCCCACAGCTAGCAAACCTTATATTGCGCGAAGCGACTGTGCGTACGTGATAGAGCAATGACGTAGCATGGCGCATGCACTAATGGCACTTCCCGCATTCTCACATTAGCATCGTTGCAGCTGTTGAAGATGGAGGTTCTTATTCCAGCTCCCGCCGACTGTGAAGTGCGGTCATTGATAACGCTAAGCCGCACACGGCTCGACGAACAGCAAGTCTCCTGCAGTTCAGCTGGGAGGTGTTTAATCATTCACCCTACAGCCTGGACCTCGCTCCCAGTGATTTCCATCTTTTCCTACACCTCAAGAAATTCCTGTCCGGTCAGCGTCAGCGTTTTGAGAATGACAGAGAGGCGGAGATGGTTGTCACACAGTGGTTCCAATCCCAGGCGGCAGACTTCTACGACACAAGTATCCAAAGTTGGTCCCACGGTATGACAAATGTCTCAATTCCAGTGGCGAATATGTTGAAAAATAGCTGGACACTTGCTGTATCTGTGCGCAATAAATATTTCCATGAAATTGTGTTTTGTTTCTGTAAACGGCCCCAGGGAAACTTACTTTGTGTACGAGCCTCGTATGTTGTATAAAAGTTTGCTTCCTAAAATAATATATACATAAATTAATCGTCGAAGATGAAAATCATAACTTTCGAGAGTTAAAACAAATTTTCTAATAAAGTAGCTGACAATTACACAAAAGTGCCTTCATAACTTATAACCAGGATAAAACACTTTCTTATCTTTGACCATCTACTTGATCTGCGTGTTGACTTTAGGTACTAATTCTCCCCACTGATTTATTAAGATTTGGCTTCTTCACAGTTGCCAACTTAAACTTATGTTTCTTGCTTTCACAATGTTGCGCAAACTGTGCTTCAGAATTTAACGTAAGATTACAGGGTTGGCAGTAGAACTGGCCTGCAAACAACATTATCAAATGTCAAGTGCTTGAAGTAAAAATTAATTAAGAGCACAGTAATACATTACACAGGGAAATTTCATAACAAAGAAGTCCCACAAACCTGAAGAATTTATTAATTAAAATCCAGGTGACTTCTTCATGAATTTTCATATTACAGTATAAAATATAAACATTTGCTAGATTCCACATGTTATAAGTAGAAAACATGTTCTACTTACCTGAAGGTGTCCGATATATAGAATAATCTTTGATCCCTGCTTTACGAGATGTGTTATCTTCAGTCTTGATAACACTTGCCAGAATGGAATCTGTTGGTGCTGAAAATAATTGTTAAGAAGTGTTGATAAGATAACACCCACACATAAAAATCTTTCTTGTTCAAAAAATCATGTAAAGCTATTGTGAGTCCCTGAGTGTTGTTTATTTTTTGAAAAAACGTTTCTTTTTTATGCTTAGCTTCTGGGGTTACATGAATTAATATCAATTAGGAAAAATATTAAATATGTAAACTACGTTGAGCAGTTAGTTCCTATATTTGAGAAGATTTATTCATTTAGTGTTCAAATTGCAAGGCTACAGCCCAACTACACATGTAAAATTTTCTCAAACATTTTCACTGTGTAATAGTCAGATGCTTTACAGCAGTGGTCCCCAACCTTTTTGTGCCTACGGGCACATTTGAGAGTTTATGAGATCGTGGCGGGCACCAACCAATTAACAAAGCCAAATTTTATTTTCTCTGGACAAATAAGATATGGACACCAAATAATACACAAAACAACACAACGTTTAATGATACAAGAAACCATGCAATCAAAAATACGTAGTTTAATAAGTACAATTATTATTACTCAAGTGTGGAGTTAGTGTGATGTTTGGCACTGCATTTCATCGGCCAGTTTTTCAAATTTGGGAGTGTAGGATAATGTTGCTGCTCGCAAACAATCGTCAAGATGGGAGATCTGCGCTTTGATTTTATAATGTTCATGGTTGAACGGCTTTCATTATTCAGTATAACCTCTTTCCGTAACAACGCGGGCACCCAAACAAAGGCTTGGCGAGCCCCATGGCACCCGCGGGCACCACGTTGGGGACTACTGCTTTACAGGTTATTTCCTATTAGTGTATCAACGGCACAGCTTATTTAGTCGTTAGACAATGATCATATATAAATTTTGAAAGTGGTAGCAGTCTGTATCAAGGTACTATCTTGGCAGCTGCCTAGAGCAACCAAGGAAAACAATGACTTCATTATCATGGATGAGATTTTAAGTGCACAACACAAGTTAACCTGCTTGCCTGAATTCAGTGTTCCTCAGACGAACAACGGGGATTTCACAGCATACCGAAGTGCCATAAATTATAAAAGACCATCCTCGAGCAGAGCTTGATTACTGAAAAATCTGATAGTCTGCAACGCAACTTGAGAAAAATACCTGGAGGTGGGATTGGTACAGCCACAGTGGTCGGTACTTTCCACATTCCAGCCGGTGTTGTGCCACCTGCTGCCTTTTCCGCTTTCTTGTGTTTAGCACCATTAAAATGCATGTCCAACTGGTCCTGAGACGTAGCTGCCACTTGACATAACTCACAGAAAAACCTGCAAGAGAGCAGAATATTTAATGTTATAATGCATTCTTTCAACCAATAGTATAAAATGAGCCAACAATGGAGGGGGTCACGTGCTGATTGGTCCATCCATCCACCTGTTCCGACTCAAAAACTACCTGATGTACGTCAATGAAATTTAACACTAAACATTGAAATCTGAATTTAGTTATGTGTTGTATGTAATATAGCAAATATTACCCATCATAAGACAATGGGAAGAAAATTACAGAAAACAAGATAAAATCTGAATGATATTCATGTTTTCCGAATGACAGGAGAAATCACTCTCTGATGTCAAGGATGGACTAAAGATATTAGACAGGGATTATAGATTATAAGTATTCGACATAATTATTGAATGTAAAAATAAATGGTGCAATCATGTACAAAGGATTCTGGAATAAAAAATGTTAATATAATTAGGGTGATCTAATCAAGAAGGATATGAGCTGAGCATGTGTTTTGCATGGGACAGATAAAAATGTATGCAACATTTTGATTAGAAAATCTGAGGGAAAAGCATCAGCTGGGCAACCTTCACACATGAGAAGACAATATTAAAACGAATCTTAAATAATGTGGGTGTGGACTGGATGTGACTGGCCCCAAGAGAGTGTTAAGTCACAAGCCATGTTACAGATTCATGAATATGGTAACAAATCTTCAGTTTCCATTAAGGGCAAGGAATCCTTTGATTAGTCAAGTTACTATCAGTTTTTTAAGAAAGGCTCTCTTTCATTTAGTTGGGAAGTCATTTTGCATCACTGATACTGTGTTCACTAAAAATTTGGTAGAAAGACAGGGAAATGAAATAGCCAATGGAAGGCTTTGTCCACCGTTTCACGAACACAGGACAACTGGGTATCAAACCTATGTCTGTCCATATGTTAACCACAAATTAGGTCATTTACTGTTTCAACTGCAGAGGTTACAACAGTGTCAGATGAGATGATAATCATGAATAGTAGATAAGTAATGGTTTCGAAGAAGACAGCCATGCCCTGTTTCACCTCCTTCAGAAGGATTCTGATCCATTCCATAAGTTAGTGAACTGTAACACAAAAATCATTAAACCAAAATTTTACCTTCCTTTCTTGGCAGAAGGTGGATCTGTTAAGGAATCTATGAGACCAAAAGGATCAGTTGCTGGGTCTGATTTCTCAGACTGTGGTCTGAAACAAGTACACACAAAATAAGCCATAACAAATGCATTATCATTACATACAGCTAATTGTGGTTAGGATGAGAAAATTATTTTATGGTTATCAGTCGGCTTCTCACTTGTCAATTATCAAATTATGACGTCTAAAAATCAGGCTGACATATCCTGTACAATGCATTAACAGTCATAAATACTCAGTACAATAACTGGAACATTCATCTCATGAGAAGGGCACAAGTTTTCCTAAAACATTCGTACATATCTGATATAATTGCTGCACTGAATTTGAGGTTATGTGCCATGCACAAAAAAGAAATGCAAGCATCTACATTTTGCGTTACCATTCAGGCAATAATGATGCATATAAAGAAAGTCCTTGTGCAAGATAGCAAACAAACACCAACCTTGAAAGGTCAATGTCTACTTACGACCTCTGCCAACGTCCAGTTTCCTTATTAAAGTAACCGGCCTTAAGAGGGGCATGTCCTTCCAAAGCACGTTGATGGTTTCGCCCCATATAGTGTTGCTGCGCATGTTGTTGTGAAGTCAGTGCCAAGTCACATACCGAACAATACAGATCATGTGGATCCACTAGTGCCTAAACAAAATTAGAGACAATTCCTATATATGAGACTACATACCAAGCGTCCCAATCAATTTTCATCCCACTGCAACCATAATCTATAATAATAAGAGAACAGATTTGTTGAATTTTAACTGTAATTCTGATAATCTGAAAACCTGAAACTGGAATGAAAATTATAAAGAAAGTGTCACGGCCAACACTTGAACTGGGTACCTCCTAAATAAAGTAATGAATGGATAGTTTAATGATGCTGTATCAACTGTAATGATTATTAGAACCAAATTATGTAACAGAATGATCACATTTGGTGAATTTAAAAGAAATAGGGAGGAAGCAGTCATGTCATATTTCAAGACTAAAACAAATTAGGAAAACCACAGAAACCCCAGTGGCATATTTGGTGTCCTAGTTGGGAGTTGAGCAAAGAAGATAACAAAACAAGTGCACCAAGACATGTTTTATTCATTGTTCCTCATCACAAAACAACATATATTTTTAATTATGGCATATCAGTTTTAAGAATTTCACATTTGAGGCCTTATTTATGTCCACTCTACAATATAAAATGGACAAAATGTCACAGCCAAATGGTTAGTACTTCTGCTTCATATCTGGGAGGTACCAAATTCAAATCTTGGCCTGGGAACTGGTTATTCTGACCGATGTGCTTTGCAATATTTCTGTTTCTTCAAGAATAAGCTGAGATAGTACCTTAAATTGGACCAAGACTGCTTCCTTCCACATCCTTTAGAGTTCACTGATCATTAATCATCTTATTATTGAATTCTATACAGAGTGTTTATCACAGAACCTTTTTTGGAGAAGTCCCATCTTTCAGTCTGAGAGGAATAGGTTCGCCAGTCTCACGGCTCCAATTGGCAAGGAAATGGGTCACTTTTTTATCATGTTGCTTCCCAGTATAATGCATCTTTGCTTGAACTGTTGAATTGACCTAAAAATAAAATTTGAAACTACTTAGATTAACTCTCACATACAATGAAATATTTTGTTTACAGAAGTAAGAGCAGTACTGTGTGCTAATGGATTTAATGCAACTTATGTCATTATTAAACATTGGGATGAATGTAAATGGCCCGTGAGGAGGAACTTGAAAGTAGCAGTGGTGGAGTCTTTAATTTTATTCAAGCGTCCTGAGTTGGGAGTTCAGACACCTGAAAATTTCATTAAGTTTCTTGGAAAAATGCCTGATTTTATACACACAATTTCACTCATTTAGAATTTCATTTCATACTTATTAAATATAATTTCCAAAACAGGAGTTGTAATGCTAACCAACTATAGTATTTTTCAGTGGAATTGGAGGCTGAGTTGAGTTCTGCTCTTTGTGAGTGACCAATCGGCGCAAAGAAGGTCTGTTGGTAAGCAGCTAGACCTCAGTCTGTTCAGAAACTGTGTGATGGAAGCGTCAGCTGCCGCACTGCATTGTTGCCAGTTCTCACGTCTCTTTGCGTAGTGTTGTAACCATTCAATGGAAAACAATGTTCCATGATGCTACATCTGGCACCACTTTGTTTCCTCACTTTCTTGCCCATCCACTTCCCACCACTACTTCCTACCATCGCACAGAACATGTGACTGGTGCATGCTTCAGCCGCCAATTCGGCTGAAAACTGTTATAATGTCATAAAATGGCCCAGTTGACATTTAACAATTTTCTTTCCATTCCATTAAAACCACATAAATGAGGAGACTTGGGGATTCAGTTGTAAGGTGCTGACCTTCCTAGCAGAAAGTCCTGAGTTCAAGATTAGTGATTCAGCATGGATGTTTCTGCATGCCTTCCTTCCTTCATCTCAAACTCTAATTAGTGTATGTGAGGAATACTAGGTCCTTGCTGTGGTTAAAAATCTCATATTATGCTGCTGTACATCCCACCTACTACCATTATCATAACCTTTATCATCTGGGCACAGAATGATAATGAAAGATCACACTACAACTGTATGCCTTCATTATTTACAGTATATGGAACAGATATTCCCTTTTGATTGTTAATGTTTCTCTTAAATATTTGTAACTGATCAATTCATTGTGTGATATATATATCGGACAATGCCCACAGCCTAAGGCACATTTTTTATAAGCAAATTTTGAAACAAAGATAACACCCAAAATATTTTAACCTTTACAGGCAGTGTGTCACAACTTATGTATGGTCTGGATGACCATGTGTCACAGTAGCATAGTTTAAATACCCTGTTCCCATAACAAAAATACTGAATACCTTCAGTTCAAGTTTCAAGTTCTTACCGAAACTTTACAGAGATCACATTTTAATGGACCAAATTTATTGGTTAGTTCCTTTGGTAAGACTGGATTCTTAATGTTTGGTAGATCTGATCCAGTACCTCCACCTGAAAACAAAATATCTTTCATCATGACTAGAACATATCAGACTGACTTCCTTATAAAATAAGGAAAGATGGGCTTATGACATCACATCCAGCTGTTTGTCTACTTGTACCCTGCACTTTATAGCACTTCAATCAATGGACAGAATTTCATGAAATGTGGTATGTACAGTATGCCACTTAAGGTCATCCCTCTTTGTATTTCTTAATTTTCTGCCATCAATAATACCAACAGGGCAGCTGTGAACTTGTAAATTGGGAATAACACTAGTGACACTTAATGCAGGGTACTAAACTTCAGTATCGCAATAAATCTTCACATAGTATGCAATTTCTGTTTCAGTGATTCTTTTGCAAAATGTAATACAGCAACATGATGGCCACATGAAACAAACACAAATTTACTTTTCAGTTGAACCAGAAAGCTCAGGATTTGAATTTTTGTATTCCATTTTTAAGAAACACCAATATTTAACAACAGTTATGACTGTGTTCAGCTCAGCTATGACCCTGTGTAGTCTTCCGTGGTTACCAATGTCTCCAAGGAACATAATGCTTTCATCTTCAGTGTAGAAGTGAATCTGGAGACATTAAGTTCCTCATACACATTAATAACCAGTGACAAGACTACATGGTGTCACAACCCAGAATCCTACATTCTGAATTCTCACCACTGCGAAACCTCAAGGTTCTAGATGTGGTGAAATGGTCAACAAAATAAACATTCAATACTGAATTAATAAATTTGTTTATATCCTTATCTGCTATTTAAAAATGTAAACCAATTTATTGATCAGAAAGTTAAATTTAATTGAAATCAAAAATGTTCAGTATGACTAACAGAATCAAATTACAACTTTGCACCATGAAATTCATCCTCCATAGAAAGGAGTGCTTTATAATGTAAAGAATCAGCAGCAGTGGTTAAATTATGAAATAATTAAAATTCTACAAAGTATAAACAAAGGTGGTGCTGGAACAAAATAAATTAAAAAATGGTAAAGGTAAGGTGAAGTTGACCTTGTGTCCAAGCACAATGCCATAAATTGGAACAAAGAGGTGCACTGAACACATTTATTATTTTTTGGTTTAATAACATTTACCATTCCTGAGCCTTAGCATGAGATAGAGGTGAGTGGCCAGCATAATGCTCCAGCCCCCTTTACCTCCAAGGAAAGAGTCCCCCCAGTATCCACTGGAAGGAGTCTGGGTGATACCAGAGCTGGTGGGGTCATAATGGTGAGGGAAAACTACCTGTCCCTGTCACAAATATATCTCTGTTCTTCCAGCCCACATGCAACCACTTTACTGATCAAAATATTCTTCCTCACAATAAGAGAGCATCAAATGTTGTGATCAAGTAAGGTGTATGTTATGAATACCTATTACATTTATTTTAAATGTTTCTCATTCAAGGCAAACACCTTATTTGAAGTGTCCAAAAATGTACTTAATGGTGACCTTAAAATGAATGAAATTTACATAAAACAGAAAGGTTACAGATGAAGTTTCTTTATATTAAAAAGACATAAACTAAAAGTTAATTTAAACCCTTGAAACTAACCAATGAAACCAAAATCAAAATAGGCTGCAAAGGGCACAAGTGTGACCACCACCCTTGCACTCCCCTGCAATTCAACAGATGCACTTCACGTAACTTTGCATGGTTGACCAAAGATACCTCCCTTGTGAGTCATAATTGAAGCTAAAATCTCAGCCTCCTGTTATTTGCTCTCTTACATCCAAATATACTGTCAGACCACATATCTAGCACCCAAAAACATGGAAGACCTAAAATCAGCATTTTCATAAAATTGTCATGTTTAAAACTGGTGCTTCGCTGTTCTTCAACTCACCACCATGTGCAAGTGGTGCCATTGTTGATCTTCTTATCCCTAGCAGAAGGCAGCTTGCTTGCACTTGTTTAGTCAGTGGATGGCATAAGTTCTGGGCTTTTACATGTTTTTAGGTGATGAAGATGATACCACCCAGAGTTTAGAAATTTTTCTATTTCTCATGGACTGAATGTTGTAGTAGAGTGCTTAGCACTCCTGCTTCTTATTTGGGAGGTCCTGGGTTAAAATACTGGCCAGAGACTGGTTATCTGACTGTTTTTTATGGTTTTCCTTTGTCCCTCCAAGCAAATCCTAGGATAGTACCTTAAATTACGCCATGACCGCTTCCTTCCACATCATTTCCACTTCATTATTCGCTACCATCCTCCGATTCGACACTATATAGTCTGAACTACTTAAAAACTATACATATATATTTCTAATGGAAAACAAATTATGAATTGTAGAAAAGCATGCCTCAACACATAATTTTTATTATTTATTTTGTTTGTATTAAAATTCCTCTGCAATATCCAAAATCCAGAAAATCCTAAAATCCAAAAACTCTACCTTCCAGGCTTTTCAGATAAGGTGTCCAGTACTATATTCTCAGCACTTTATAAGTTACAATCAATCTACATTTTCCCTTTCAGTGGGACACCAAGTTCCATAACCATATAAAACAAAATGTGTATTATATAATTTGAATTTAATCTGTTCTTAACTTTATATGGATGAAATTTTGCTATTATTGTCCCTATATATTTCAACCTTACTACATTTTTTAAGGATTTAATTGCCACCTGGACTTAATTTGTTTATATCTAAACAGGTTTACAAACTGATCAGAAAAGGCATTCAGACATAATTAAGGAACTAAAAAAGTTGCAGAATTTTTTTCAATATTAGAGAAATGGGCTGAACTACGTACTCCCCATCTTTTAACTTCAGGGCTGAAATAGATACAGTTTAGAAACTTTATTCTTTTCAGAATACCAGACATTGGACAAAGTTGAGAGATTCAGCAATAATAAATATGTGTATACCTGACATTAATGGAATTTTGAGGAATCTCGTGCAATGTGTGTCCATGTAAAACTCAACAGAATATCATAATCATATTGGGATGCAAGAAAATTTCTTTAATCTAAAAAAAAGTATTTTTTTATTTCAGTAATAAGGAGATGTTATGATTGTTTTGAATTCATAAATAATTTACTACAATTACTTTTCTTAAACAGCTTTAAACAAGTGGAAACACCCTCAAGAAATCTGTACCTAGTGACTTTCATCATTCCAATATAAAATACACAAGAAACTTGCCATTTTGATTCAGTGCACGTTTTCTTGCATTTAAGTCAGCACCATTTGAATTTTGTTGCATTGGTTGTGTCTGATTAGCATTTCCATCTTTCAACTGAGATTCAGGGTTGGATTCTTGGACATTTTGTTGCTTATGTGGAAGAGGTGGAGGTGGTGGTGGTGGCAAAGGGGGTGGTGGTGGTGGGGGTAATGGTTGCTGCTGTGGTGATGGGTGTTGCTGTTGTGGTGGTAAGGGTGGTGAAAGGTGATGGGGTTGTGGAGGCAGTGAATGTTGCTGTACTGGCAGTGGATGTTTTTGCAGTGGTAGTGACTGGTGTTGTGATTGTTGCTGTAGTTTTGATAGCTGTTGTGATAGCTGATGTTTTTGTTGATGCTGATTAAGACTTTGCCATGGTCCTTTCAGCCCTCCTGGTGCTGGAATTTTATTCATATTTCCTGGAACTCTGCCCCTTCCACTGGATACCCATGGTGGTGGAGGACCAAATCTGTGATCCCTCATGGGTCCTCTTGATCTAAAGTATGGGTCATATGTTGGACGAAATGGGAGAGGGCCACCACAACTGTATTCAGGGGGAGGAGGTGGTGGTGGAGGTGGGAGGGGAGACTGCCCCATTAAAGGTGGGGGTCCTGGATATGGCCGAATACCTGGGGGGGAAAAAATAAACAGTTAAGGTATTGCCAACAAAAGGTAATGGATGTGAAACATATGTACAGATATTAAAAGTTTACTGTCGTGTATCATAAACCCAAGGCAAGGCAAATCAGCTGAAGTAATAAGAGCCACTTTTAAGAGAAGGATTAATAATCTACTGGTGCAAGTTTTTTGGTTATAAAATTACAGTTTGTTATGGAATAGTACCATCAACTTCCTGTTCTTACCTGGGATTCTGGTTGCCATTCCTGCAACGCTAATTATGTGTAGCTAACTTTCATCCCGAAATATACACATTAAAATAAAATAAAATTGCCAGCTTCCATACAGTGTTTATTTTCAGTCAATATTTATGACGTCACAGTTTGCGAATTGTGATCATGCTGAAATGAACCATTTTTATCCCATTCTGAAAAGTTACTATGACGATACTTCTTTTCATAAGGTACTCTTAAAACGTGCTGTTTTTCTACCAAAACAGCATGAAATTTAGCAGCTAGTCACTCATAACTCCATAAAACTATAAAATTACAAACTGAACATAGTAACATGGACATATAACCGGCAACATCTTTGACACTTTCAGAGGGCCACAGAAAACAAGAGCAGAGAACGCGTAAAATGTGTTGGTATTATCAATGCAAATGTGCGTAACGGTTCCGTGTAATTTCCCATATAGCCGTTTCACCAGTATTAACTTCTTCTACGTCAAGTTTGCGACTGTATTATCACCTAGAGATATTTAACTTCGGTGACTACATTTTAATCTACTCCAATTCTCACGAGTATTGGTTTTCACCGTCTCGATGGAAATTACAGTTGTGACAATAGAGAGATTCTTTTCCCAATTGATCTGAAGACAACACAAATTTCATTGGGATGTCGGAAATATTTGTTAATTATAGCTCCTTAATATATTGCAAATTATCAGCACAATAGTATGATTTTTATATTGCTGTACCATACTAAAATCCTAACCAATGTTCCAAATTCATCTAACATAACCTAATAAAAAATTAAAATTCCGTGTTAGAACTGATACTGAGTAACCAACCTAACCTGATGAAAGTTTAAAATCCTAATCTGACCTAATTAAAAATTAACGCACAGAAAAAGTCGTGTCTTAATTTTCCTTAATCTTTCAAACTCTATATAAAAAATAAGAAACATTGTCTTTCGTATGGATTGTATGCAGACATTATTTGCATATAAAAATAGACGGAATTATATTAGGTCAGAAGGTTAAACGGCTTGAAGGTGAAATACATATGTAGAAGTGGTGCAGGTGAAGTGTTCTAATAAGTTTTGTGCTGTATTCTGTGGCCGTGAGAACCTCATATCCTACAGATACTGCGTGGCTACGTTTGTATTATCTATGGTGTTAACTATGCATGGCAGTACGTTCGTGTTCTCTGTCGTAGGCGGTTGGTTCTGTGAGAAGTATGGAAATGGTTTGGTGAGTTGTGTGGTTAGGGGTGCTGAAACATTTTGATGAACTGAAATAATTCTATCAAATAGGCCTGTCTAATGCGTGGGTACGATATGTTGAAAAAGTCTCTCACAAATGGCTCATGAAGACGTATTAATAAATCTGTTGGAGGAAAAAATTCTGGATGGCGAGAAATTGTTAACGACCGTATCCATTATTAATGTCAACGGAATAGAGAAACTTCAGAAAAAGTTTGAGCAAGAAATACAATTCTTGTTGAAGGTAACATGAAATAGTTTATATATTTGGGGCTTAGTTATTGATGTACATGCCATATCATTATGCAGTATGGGCAGTTGTCTGTTCTCCACTCTTCTAGATGTGAAATGTTAAATCTGATGGTCGGCATCTCCAGCATCAGAGGAATGTGCATTGTTTTAATTGTAACGTAGGTTTGAGGAATGTGTCATCCTAGATAGTCTTCTTAACAGCAGAAATTTAAGGTAACTTTACTGAACAAAATATTTTCAGTGACTTCATTTAGTAAGGAGCTTCAGTTTACAGGTATGTAAAAAAGCATCTGAATTTATATATTTTACATGGAAAGAAATAAACCCCAAAACTTGAACAGAATTTGATTGCATCTAAATCTGGCTACTTTTGAATTTATTTTAATTATTTATTAAAATGGTATGGTCATGGGCAAAGGCAGATATTAATAGCAGATGAAGAGCACAGCAAAAGGGATGAGTATTTTTAAGAAGTATAGAAGGAAAAACAGAGAATAGAAAATGAAACAAAATTTATAATCCTAAGTTAAATAAATGCCTTGGATGACCACAGACCATTTGACAGAATATGATTGTATGGACACACATGAAGAATGAGCAAGAAGAGAATTGGAATACATCCAAGAAGGAGACATTAAGATGGGAACACATGGCTAGGAAAGATGAGATGTCATGCAGAAGGAAGGGTAGACTGAGAAATGGTTGTCAGGCAGCTCAGAGTGGAAACTTATTAGGAAGAAGAAGGTTATTAGTTAAAATAGAAGGTGACTGCACTTGAGACACTCCATATGTTGTCACTCATGTTTAAGAATATAATTTTTTTTGTTGAACTAGTTTCCTGGTGTCCCTATAATGCTAGCACAGCTGTAGTCTGCGTAGTGTTGATCAATGTTTTGGAAAATGCAGGCCTTAAAACTATGTAAAATGGAAATTAAAATAAATTCTGTTTTTCTCCAGGTAACAAAATCTAAAAAAGCCAAAAAGGAGCACCTGCTCTGTACAAACCTCAGTCACTTTGAAGCCTTGGTATCGTGTCTTGTTGGAAGTTATGACCCCGTTGCTGTACTTCAGACCTTTGTTCTTACAAAATCAGATGGAAGTTCAAAGAGAATTTGTGTAGATATTGTTGCAGAGAAGGGCCAGCAATGGATCAAAGTAATTGCAAGGAATCCAAAAGCCTTATCCCAACTCTCAACAGGTAAGCATGTGCATTAGAACTGAAAGTAAAGCAAATGAAAATTGTACTGTGGTGGAATGTACATATATTCCAAATAGATTTTCTTTGCTATTTTACATACCTTATTGACCTAAATAGTCATTTATTTTATAAACAGATTTATTGTTATGAATCTAATCACACTGGATATAATTAACTACTTCCTCGTGTATGTAATTAATTAGTCATCAATAGTAAAAATTGTTGAAAAATTGAACTCTGAATTTATGTAACAATTTTTGTACAATGAGCCATTTATATAGAAACATAGTGAAGTGTAATTTAAGTTCATTATAAAATAGGAAAGATATTGCACTGACATGAGCCAATATTAATTAATTTGGCAGGCTTTACTGAAGAGAGACAATATGAAGTTTAATTGAAACTTCTCTGTTGATTTTAGAACAAACATGTGCAGACTGACAGACACAGCCTTCCTTTATACATTTACTTTGTGTGTTTGTACAAGGAATGCATAATTATGTGGTGTTTAGTAACATTATACCTATAAACTTGAGACTGTTTTATAAAATGAGAATACATACACTGGAATACTTGACAACATGGTTCACTTTAGTGCAGAACTTTGTACTAAAACACTGATTCATTTAGTATCACAGAGATTTTGGTTAATACTTGTTTTCTCATTTTATTTATTTTTTATTTGTTTTAGGTGAAGGGGAATTTGGACAGCGAAGTATTGTAGATCATGCAGTAGAATATACTGAATGTGCACATCAGCATCCTCATATTTTCAAAACTCCCAAGGTAATAAATGTATGTTTTTCTCTTTCATGGTTTTGTGAAATAAATATTAAGTTATTCTAAGCAGAAAGTTTCACTATCTTTTTGTGTTTACTCATGATGTGATATGATTATTATAGTTATTCAGATTTTTTGTTCATGAATGTGACCACAGCAAGTTTTTGCTTGCAAGTTGCTGTCCTTGTGTAACAGCAAGGGCGGGGGGGAGAGAGAGAGAATAATTTGTTACACTGCCACTGTTCCACTAGGGTGGAATGTTTTATAGTGTTGTGTGTATCATAGAAAAATACAGCTAGTAATATGGTACAACGAGAGGCATGTGGAAGAATTTCAAATGACTTATTATATGAGGGGAAATTTAGTAGGCGAGGGCAATATTGGAATATTTTAATTGTATGATTGGCAGTCTGGTCATGCTGTAGTTCAAGGTCAAGCAGTGACATGCTGTAAATGTGGTTCATTTATAAAACGTAGTATACTTTGGGCCATATTGACCACCTTATACTGAGTTGTTAAAGAAATCTCTGTTACGGAATGTTCAACACTATCACCGTATAAAACTTTTATTTTTGACTTTATTCTGGGCGTCCCGAGCCACTTCAGTAGATTTCACATCTTGTCATCCTATTTCCATGAAATATGTATTAATGTTTTCTTACCAAGTTCATACCAGTTTCCCAGGTGGCCTCTTTTCATGAGATTTTCTAACTGATTCTTTGTACGCATATGTTGTTTATTAAGATGCAATAAAACGTTTTTCTAGCAGACCTTTCTATAATGACGATTTGTGTGTGCAGCAAGATATACTAATGAACAGTACCTTCGCATACATGAATATGCATGAAAATTTTATTATATTGGAAAACAGTTACTTCAGCTGTAGTGATTTATGACAGTAACAATGCTTATAGATACAAACTTACTGATATAAATTTTTTGCAGGTTGTGTTTCAGTTTGCATGTGGTATTGAAAAGACTTTAGCTGATCGACTTGACTCATTGGGTATTATTGTGTCTGGCAGAAGACTTGGAAATAGTGAGTTACTACTTCAGGAAGGTGACTGTGTAAGTGCTAATGATGATGATGATCTGCAAACTTGTGTATCAAAGAGATATGCAGATGTCCATTGCTCCATTGTAAATTCAGGAACTAGTTCTGTGATTAACTGCAATCATGATGATCAGAAGCTGAATCTTGATGTCACAGCCATGCTGGCATATGTGTCAGGTTTGACGAATGGAAGGTGCAACTTTAAGTTCAAGGAACCAGTGCTTACCCAGCAAGCAGAATGGGAAAGAGCAAAGCCTGTGAAACCAGTGCTGGACCAACTGTTTGAAGGTATGGAATGGTAGGTGACTGATTGAGGGACTGAACTAAAATGAAATTAATTTTAGGCAGGTTATTAATTGAACAATAGACTTCTCCTCATAGACCTAGGTAACTACTTGTTTATAAAGATGAATGGAGGAGATGTTCATAGGTAGAAATAGCTCTAAGAAGAATTGCAGACAGTTGTTGTATGGCAGAAAGAATATTTTGTATGACAACTGATGAATGTAAATGGGTGGGCACCAAAGTGACCCTTGCATCACAACCATTAAGTGATATTTTGTGTGTCTCCTTTCTCTCAGTCCATTAGTAGCCTTATACTTGCAGCCAAGTACAGTATCTTACCTAGCAGGATCTCATGATAGTCACCTGGTCTTATGAAATACCTGCTAAGGTGCAAAATCCTAATTCAGCGAAGGCCTCACAGTCACACAGGATATGAATGGTTTAATGAAGATAAGTATACATGTTGTAATTGGATTAGTTTCAAGATTCACATCGACTGACTAAATAACATCATGTCCTGAAGCTGAAGTACTTTAGATGCCTGTATCTGGCATACGTTAAAGACACTCTTGGCTAGTAAAGAAGTTCTCTGCTTTTATGGTTTATGACCATGTCAAAAAACCCACTGTTAAACGCAGTTCTGAACAATTTGATATCAGTCCACACCATTACAATCTTTCTCTAGAATTTTCTTTTCCTATGGTCTCATTGCTTTAGAGTTTATAACAAGCATTTCTTATTTCATCTGGTGTGATATATATGGGAGAAATGAGAAAAGTGTACAATGTTTTATTGTTGAAATATATCATAGCAAAAATTGTTACTTTTAAAGTGTGTACTATTACTTATAAAATTAATGTTTGTTGCTGCATGCATAAATAAGAATGGAGAACTGTTGCTACTGTATTCTCGATGGTTTGACAGGAAAATCTTTGTTTTGCTGTGAATCAGCAGTGAAAGACTTTCAGTCCATTGTATCAACACTCGGAGGTCCTGGGGAAGTGAGCAGAGCAAATGAGTTGCTGGCCCGCATCACAGTAATTCCTGACATGACATCTCTTCGTGCTCAAGCTCAGCTAAAATTGGGTGGAAAAATCAAACAGAGATCCTTGGCAGTTTTTGGAACTGGTGATGCTGTCAGGGCTGTTACTGTTTCAGCAAACGCAGGTTTTGTTCGTGCTGCTAAATGCCAGGTAATTAGAATTTTGCCATCACATAGTTTGTGTAAATACATATAAAGTAATGCATTTTATTTATTACTTCTCCTTCTTCTTCTTCTTCTATGGCTCTCCAGTCCATATTTGGTCCATGGCCTCTTCAATTCTCCTCTTCCATTTGGTCCTTCTGTTAGGTCCGTCTGTCTGAGGTTGAGGTTTCGAAACATCTTCCTTTTTACGGTGCAAGGTTGTTAGCCTTGCGACCAACCCCCAACCTGGAGGACCAGGGTACCTGTCTTAGTCTGACCTCTCCCCCTCGACCAATCTGGCTAGGGAGGCCCTACCAGTAGCTATGCTACCGCCAGCATAGCTCTTGGGATCACTGAGGTACTCGAGCCCTACCACCACGACAAGGTGCAGGTACCATTAAGTATTTTATTTATTACTAACATACATGAAACAGACTAAATTTTGGATTGCACACTGCAAGGTTCTGAAGTTTACTTTGAGTGAAAGTCATTCCTCATTTCTCGGTCTGTTACCACTGGCATTTTTAAGAGAATTTTATTACATTTTATACTGAAAACTCCATTAATATAGTAGATTTATATTCACTGTGCCCAGACAGGTTTGTACTTTTCTTAAAGGCTTAAATAAATTTTTATGCATATCTAAGTACTCAACACAGCAAAAATTACAAGTTGATAGATGTTATGAACTTTAGTGAAGCAAGTATGTTGTGCTGTACATTTATTTTATACATTGGGAAGTTTTAGGAAATATACCTTTTTACATACCAGTACAAAGAAATTGCATTGTTTCTCTCAAATTGCAATTTGCATCATAGTCATTGTGTGTAGGAGGAGAGTACCCCAAGAATATTACTATATTGACTTGCTATGATCAAAACTGGTTCATATTTGAACTGCCTTTTTGCATAGTACTCATTATCAGAGCAGGCCATGAATATGATGGAACATAAATTAATGTATGGCTATGGAATATCCAGGTTATTTGGCAATTGCATAAGGATTTCATAAGACAAGTGAAATGTAATCTTCATTTTGAATCTGAAGTACATGAAGTTCATAAACTTGCAACTGCTGCTGTCTGCAAGTTGGCTGCAAGCAGTTTTAGAGAGGTTCTTGTTTTATTTTATCAGGGTGTGGAATTTGCTGTATTTGTTCATGAATCCCGTGCTCTTACCGAAGGAAAGGAGCATGATGCTAGAGCTCTGGTTCTTACATGTGATTCCAAAATACAGCCTGTTGGTTCCGATGTGAACAGAAGATGATACTTGTTACCAAGGTAGGGATCAACATTTGTGTGTTGTATTAGTACTTTTTGAAGCTACATTTAACTGCAGAACATGAAACATGCAATTTATTGTTATGTAGTACAAGGCTGTGAATTTATGGGTGTCAGGCTCATTAAAGTGGAAGCTGTAAGTCTCAGCATTCCAGCTTCCAATTTTAATAATGTTCTTTAGTATAAGTACCATATATTCTCACAATTTATGCATTTTTCCCACATTATTTTCTAAAGTGGTTGAATAAATTATGTAATTTGTTGAGGAGGCTCAGGTTTACAAATGAGACAGGTTATTAGTGTACAGAAAATTAACATTGTGACAGAGGTAATGTATAATTTGTTTATTTATTTCAAGTTTCATTGACACATTACATGAGACTTAATTATATAAAGTCACTACTCAAGCTGACTTTTTGCAACAAATTTCTTTCACATTCATGCATAAACAGAGACAAACATTGCACAAAAATAAATCACATTTTAGTGCAAAATATGGGTACATAAATTATAAGATACACTATGGCGTTTCTTCTGGTGCCTAATATTTTACCTTGCAGACATCTGACGGTTTTCTTTGGGGGGAGGTAGTACAACACTTTTGAAGAAATGAGCATTCCTTGAAAACAGAAAAATTGTATTTTCTTTCTTGCAATTGTAATGAAACTCTTTGTCTCAAAGATAAGTGATACAGAAGTGATAATATCTATTATGGATTGATATGTCTAACTTGTTAGATAGCAGTGCATTTAGCTTTGAGAAGATGAATAGGTCATATTTAATTTATTGGTTAATAATTTAATGTTTGCTCATTTTGTTGCTGTGGCTTCAAAAGACATATATTCTGTAAAAAATAAAACATAAATGAAAGTGTAATTAATAAATTAAAGGTATGTTATAGCCAGATATTCCATGTATTTTACTAGGTATGTGAACTGTTTATTAAAATTCAAGCTCTGTTACTTATCTATTTTCATGTGATTTAGCTTATATTTGTTGTTCAAGCTTACCATTCCAGTAAGTTACAGATACTGAATTAGTGCATCCACTCATAACTCAGCATATTGAAATATACAACATACATGCAGAATCTTATGTTGTGTTAGAATTATAATATAAAAATGAGGGGAGAAATTTAGCATATTTTTTAATATATAATGTAATTAGCCATAAGTTGACATGATGTAACAGTGAATAAAGATTTTGTTAACTGGGGGTGATTGTTTACAGAATAGTTGAATTTTGAATAGAAGTATCTGTAATTTTGTTGTTACTTCTAAAGATTGGATTTTGTTTTCATGACAGCTTGAATTTGAATTTAATGAATTCACTAATAACTTCCATTAGTGGCACATAATTGTTGTTAAGTGATAAAGAACTTAATAGACCATTCAGTATTTGAAGATAGCTTAAAAGGTAAAACAAGCAGAATATAAAAAAAAACATTAGTACGGGGGACGTTAATACACGAGAAAACTGCAATTAAATATATTAGCATATTTGTAAAAATAATTTAAGTCAATTAAGTAAATTATACTATTATAGGATGTGAGGAAGTGTGACAATTTTCGTCTCATAAATAATGTACCTTGTATCTGTGCTTTGCTGCCAGGATTCCGTGACTCTGCTTCTTTAAGGCAATCAGTAGCTTTACTTTCTTCTCCCATTTCATGATAAGCTTGAGCTTTATACAGCCAAGCTTTTAAATTGTTTTTATTTAATCTGTGTGCCAACTCACAGTCAGAAATAACACGAGAGTAAAGATGTAAGTTGAGGCATGTCAGAGCTCGGTTTGTATAAAGTAAGCAGCAGTCCTTGACTTGTTCAATTGCCTAAATTAAAATAAAAAAAGTCAGTTCAGTCTTGAATTAAAAAGGTTTGTCCAAATATAATTTAAAATTTTAAGTCAGAGTTAATCATATTGATAGTTTTCTGTTATGGAAATGTCATTATGGCATATAGTTTGCATTAGCCAATTGGTTAATCAAAATATGTGAATTTATGTGTGTATTATTTGGCCATACCATAGCTCAGGTAGCTGGTACTGGCTTCTTACCGTGGAAACTCAGGTTCAGTCCAAGGTGAGATTCACGATGGGCAAAGTGGCACTGGAGTAGGTTTTCTTTTAAGTTCTGTGGGTTTCCCCTCCTAATCATCATTTCACCATTGCTCTATCCTTATCCATCACAGCCCCATGTCATAATAACCCTGATCAAGCAGCACATTATCGAACCCTCAGTCCTAAGTTAGGGGCTTTATCTGCAACTTCACATTTGCCTGGCCTGAGTAAAGGCAGTTCGTTATGGAACACTCTTCAATAATGATTAACTCCCTTATAATGTGAAAGCAGCAGTTTATATGCTTAATGTCAGGAATTGTGGGAGTCACCACATTGTATTTCAGCACACACAAGAAATTGTGTACATCAATATAATACAATAATTTTATTCACCGTCTTTACACAAGCTTATAGATTGTTAAAATCACATAAAATTAAATTTAAAATTATAACATTTCAACATATGATATTGTTACATTTTTATTTTTAAAATGACGACATGTTTCGATGTTCATTCCATCATCGTCAGGTCTATCAATTAAAATTAAAAACTGTTGCACTTGCTGCCCTGCGTATACTGATTTGTTCTACCCGTTAGATTTTATTTGTTTAACCTCCAGGCTTCTTCCATTTAATTTTTGAAGACTGCGCCTGGATGTCTTAAATCTGCAAAATCAATTTTAATTTTCATATCCTGATCCTGGCTACTGACATAGGAAATGGAATAATTTTAAAGAATTACTCAATATATCGTAATACAAGCAAAAGAAAAGTAATCACAAAATATTTAAAGTATTATAACATACCGGGTTGCGTGTGAGGTGCGTGTCCGATATTAATCTACCAAATACGTTTAACATAACAAATTCTATAAAATTAATAAACGAAATCCAACAATTGAATTTTCATAATAATAAAAATATACAAATTTGTTCTTTTGACATCAATAATATGTATACAAATATTCCAACAATCATGCTACGAGATATTGTAAGAGATATTCTAAATAGACAGAATATAAATACAGATCTAATAAATGAAATTACAAATATAACTAACATTATTATTAACCAAAATTATTTCCAATTCAACAATGAATATTGGAAACAAGAAACAGGGTTACCCATGGGAGCTCCAACCTCGAGCATATTATCTGAAATATTCTTACAATATCTCGAGCATGATTATATAGTAAATATATTAAACAAATATCAAATCAAATACTATAGTAGATATGTTGATGATATACTCATGATTTTTGATGCAAAAAATACAAATATAAAAAATGTTTTAAATGAATTTAACAACATAAATCAAAATATACAATTCACTTTAGAAACAGAACAAAATAACATAATGTTTAATTTGAGGTTAACTGACGTGTATGTAGACATCTTGGCCTGGTTCATACACACAGTTACATATCCTTGCCTGCTTTACAAAACTTGAAGGTGTATCTTGATAAAGATGTTATCTTAAAATATGCATGGTGTAATTTATAGGTCTGGCACAAATATAAGGGTGGGTTTTGTTCATTGGAATATGGGTTAAAAAAAGCCTCCTCTCCATTATTTTCTTTCTGAAATCTCAGGCATGGCATCATACTTTTGTTGTTACCTTCTTGCCCTTGCAGTGAAGGCAAGAGAGGAAGATAAGGGTGTGATGCCAAGGTTACACAGCAATCAAACAAACATTTGGCATTGCATTTCAGTATCACCATTGCCATTAGTGATTTAGGTTACAGTGTTCAAATTCCTTGCCTCTGCTCTGTAAATTTAATTCATTTTGTTAATCTTAGTTAGTGGAAAAGATTAAGCACGTTGATGATAAACGCTGTTCAAACACTAGCTGAATCAGTGTTAAAATCAATTTATGATTGACATTTTGTGAAAATTAAAGTTTATTCTCTTCAAGAAATGCTAGATATAGATTTCTATTATGGGAATGCAAATGAGAACAGCAGTGAAGCCAAGAGGTCATGTATGACACTTTGAGCTTTTGCCATGAAATTTCCACTCTAAGTGTGGAGGGGAAGTAACAAGTAGATGTTGCAGCTTGGAAAGGAGGCTTTTCCAGACATATTTTCATGTATCATTCTGGTGTATAGGAATCTCCCTTGAATTTGTTCCAGACATTTAAGTTATGCATTATATAGTATTTTAAAATCCACCTTATTGTAGAGGTCCAGTGCCTTTTCATAATCTTTAGCCCTGAAGGCTTCATTGGCTTTTTTCTTATAGCCATCAGCAATTGCCTTCCGTTCTCTTCTGTCAGCTGCTCTTGTGCTTGCATCTTTCTCTACATAAGCCATGAATGCTTCTGCAAAGCATGCAAGACATTTATAATTCATATGATGAGGAAGAAAACTACATTTTGTGTGTGTGTGTGTAAAAATATATGAAGTATTGCTTGCTTCCATAACAATAAAAAATTTATGATGAATAGCTGAATAATTATCAGCTGTTTAGAGGAGTCCCTCTACAGTTAATTTATGAATGACTTCATTTTCTGTTGTTTCTTCACCTGACTGTTTCAACACTGTTACATTGTCAGTTATGTTGGTAACTTCGGCAGAGTCCTTTGTCAGAAGCTAGTCAAATTCCCACCTTTCATGGAATCTGAATGTTCATTACTCTGTTCACAACTGCATACCACCAGTCCCTATCATGAGCTAGGTGAATCCAGTCTTAACTTTGCAACATTCATTTATACAGAGTGTTCCATTTAAAATGCAACTGTAAATACTTTGCACGATGCATTTCATGCACAGTTTGAAGTAGTCCGTGGCAATATTTAATTCTTGCAGCTGATGATTGAAATTGCTAAGGCCATAATTTCAGGTGTTTTATCACTCAGTAAGCACTTATCTCAGACATACACTTACTGAGCCCTGAAATTTTGTTACCATTTGATGTATTATTGTTGTATTCAGCACTTCCTTTCCAGGATATGCATTACTATATGTTTTATGAACAGCAATAAACAATTTTGATACAAAGTGATGTTTGAGAATGAACATATGTTTTGAATACACCGTGTTTGCACCTGTGCAAAATTTGTACACCTTGCATGAGCAACAGCCAAGCAGTCAGGGTAATCTTGACTCAAGTGTAACAGGGATGGACCTGCTTCTGATTTAATTTTCATACCGCAATACATGGTTGATGGTTTGCACGTGAATGGTACACTCTGTATTGTGATTTTATTGCATTGCATTCTATTGACAGGAAGTGGACATATACTCAGTTTTCTATGCATTTACTTCTGAACCAATCTTCTTACTAGCATCTAAAAGAATTTTTATTTATTTATAGTATCTCTATTTTCATCCAATATTATCTTTATTTACACTTCCTCCTTGTTTTCGTGGTTCTTTAACTTGTCTGTCATTGATGAACATATAATTGGGTCTTCTGTAATACTGTAACCAGAATCAATATACCAGATGTCTTACCAGGTGAAATATCTTCACTTTGCAATGGATTACTTTCAGAGGCTTTCTTATTTATAATGGTTTTGTTTATCTTGACTCTAAGACCATCAGAATCAAATGTAACATTTCCTTCTGTGTTATGAAGAAAGAGGTCAGCCCTCTGGGTAGCCTTTACAACTACAGCTGGATCTTCTGACTTCATGCCCTTTAAGATAGAATCTGAAAATGAAATATATATATATATACACTCAGTGCAACAAAAATCAAGCACTTCAAATTTTCTAAATCCCAAACTGGAAGTGATGTAAGCATAGTTCCAGTCATTTATAATCTTCTTGTATTTGTCTGTACATGGCTTTTCTCTGCCTTCCATTAACTACAATTGATGATTGATGCTAGATGTATATGAAGCGGGGTCCGCAGTGGCCGCGCGATCTGAGGCGTTGGCCTTGTGCTGCTTGATCGCTGGGACCGTGGGTTCGAATCCCACTCAAGCCATGGATGTTTGTCTGCGATTTTCTGTGTTGTGCTGTCCTGTGTACAGGTAGAGGCCTTGCGACGGGCCGATCCCTCATCCAAGGAGTCCTACCAAAATGTCTATAGATCAAACCAGCGAAAAGTTGGGACCCGCAGTGCTCAGGCACTTGAAGAACAGGTCGTTCCCAGTATCCCAGTATATGAAGCAACGACACCAATATGTTTGCATAATTTTAAGAAAAATGTGCATTAATGTTAATGACTTTTCTGAATAGTGTGACAAATTCTGACAAAAAAGTAGAGCTGAAAGATATTTTTTGCTGAGCTGGCCAAGTTAACTTGTAGGCAAGTCACAAGTGTAGGGGACAAGTGTTGAAGTGAAGATTGCATTTGTGAATTCAAGTCCTGGTGCCTGCATACATTTTTCTTTTAATGATTATATAGTATCCACATGCATTTCTGAAAATGATTTTGATTGCACTCTTGGAGTTACATGCATTCATTCTTAATGTAGTACTGTATATGTAACACGGATAATGAATAAAAGTCAATGTTGAACATGATACAAATAACACAATAACGACATGAAGTCCTGGTAGACTGCAGAGAGTTAGTTTTGCAGCAGTGAAATTAACAAAATGATTCTGCATCAGTGTTCTAGTCTGTGACATTTTGATAGTATCATCATCTTGTGACAGAATAATGTATTTATATTAATGCCTGATGAGGCTAATATTCTGTACAAGGGGATTACATTTAGACTCCAGGTCTTAACATAGCAAGTCATAAATAAAATGATGTAGTAATTGTGCAAGGTTAGCACACCTAAGCGTTCACAAGCTTTATCTTAGCTGTATCGCATAAGAATACATTAATTTATACAGCACACAGTGCTGTTTACTTACTAATTTCTTCAACCTTCTGGAGAAAATTATTATATTCCTCATCCATATTAGACAGCAGGTGTAAGTTACAGTTACTTATATTTGTATAAGCTTGTTTATTCTAGGAGTCTTACTGTATCCATGGCAACAGATAACTTTGTAAAGAAATTTGCCCCTATAAGGAAATTATTGATTTCATGGTAGTGAAGAAAATCTAGGTAACTATCTAACTTGGCAGGTTAATTACTTATTCAGAACATGTTACATGCATGCAAGCCACATGTTATGGGTGGATAAGAGTGTAATTACAATGCGTATAATGCCACTTATATGGCTTGCTTCCAGATACCTGAGGTTTTATTTCAGTAATTTGTGTCTTGATAGCATATTTCTAAACTTCATAATGGAACCAGGCAGAATACTGATCTATACACATCAGTACATGATCTAGACTTCCAGCCATTTGTACTGAATTTTTCACAGAACTTTCACTTCACCACTGGCTGATGACCAAAAATATGTCAGTACACTGAGCCGTGTATGACTCAAGACTGGTTTGTACTGCCATCCCCACCCCCAGTGTAATCTTACTCTCGCCGGCCTTCCCCCTTCCCCCGATTCCTTTCTGTGTCATCTTACCGGTATTGGGGAGGGCAGTCTGTTCTGACCAAGCTTGAGAGCAAGGTGCTCTGCGTACTGGCCTGGAGTTGTTCCGGTAAAACGAGTTATTGATCTTATTTTATATATTTATAGCTTTTTTTTTCTTCTCTTTAAATTTTTTTTTGTATTGGAGAGTTTGGTCGGAACTGGCTTGGGCGAGTGCAGTCCCATCTGATTTCTCGGCTGTTCTTGGACGTAAATCTTGTTGTTTTTTTGTAAGACATTAGGAGTGATTATTTGTCATTATATTGTTTTAACAAACTTTTGTTTGTTTGTTTGTTTGTTCTTGAAGTAAATCTTGTTGTTTTTTTGTAAGGCATTGTGAATGATTATTTGTTATTATATTGTTTCAATAAACTGATTTGTTTGTTTTGTTCTTGGATGTAAATCTCAAATCTTCTCCAGGCATGGTGCAACACAAATAAATGGTGGTATTTTTAAACAAATGGGCACACAAATTGGAACGGTTTAAAGGATAGAGGATGGAAACAGATAATAACATCTTAGAAGTATTTAATTTTGAGTATAAATCTAAAATACATACAAAAATACATAATTATAAATGTAAGTTCCCAAATATATATTCATTAATAATGCACACTTCAACATAATTGTAGTCAGAAATATCCATAATTTCATAAATGAAAGTTTATTTAAATATACATGATATCATAATTATGTGGCCAACAAAGTCTAAATTCTTATAGAAGTCAGACTTTTGACATGATATGCAATATATTCTCAATTGTCTGGTTTTGTGGGTAACAGGAGACATAAATAAGATAAATACAGTTAACATTTACTGTCTGTCACACAACTCATGCACTACTCAGTTTGCCATACTAGCTTACTGCTAAACCATTAAACCAGGAGTCCAACCAGCAGCTCATTAGTCCCCTACTGCTGTATGATACACATGAGAATGTGAAGATTCATTTCACAGTGGCAGAATGCAACTCGTAAACTTGTTCATAAACATGATTATCTCTAAACGTTCAGTGCAATTACCATAATAGTTTGATCTGGCCCCCATCCAGTACAAATTCAGTTCATTAAACATATGATTTGTTCTCATAACTTCCTCATGATCCTGAAACTACAAATCTTCTAGAAATGGTCTCACTTGAAGACATTCAGAGAATTGTGACAGAACTTAAAAGACTTACATGGAATGATTTCCAACATTGTTGCCAGACATCTCGTAGCTGTTGGAATTCATGTTTAAGGTCACAAGATGAGTACTTTTAAGGTTACCACACTCGCTATAAATAGCAGCAATATATAGTTTACAGAATTGGTTCAGTTATTTCTTAGATCTTGTATCCCTACTTGTACAGTTAAACAATTCTGAGTACTGTAGTTCCTTTGTTAGATTAAGTAGATATTGCATTCTAGACTTTATTTCAGTAAGAAAGATGGAAATGAAAAATACAGACAAATGAGAATTCATTGTTCAAATATAATAACTTAATTACTGAATGGACAGGAACTGTTGCAGTGAGATTGTTTCGTGAGTAATATGAACAGGTAAATTATATAATGTATAAAATCTACAAAAATATCATATCTTGTTTTTATAAAAAAATACATGTTATATAACATTTACAGTATAAAATTTTTGCTGGTAAGATACCTATACAAACATGTAAATAATCAGTCACAAAGTTTTATTATTGAATTTGTCTTCCTAGTGTAAATTTAATTAATTGCCCTCACTATTATCACATAAAAGTTTGTTGTCATGTAGTTTTTACAGAAAAGTATCACATTTCATTCTATAATGTACAAAGCATTTGAGGAAAACAGATCATTTCACAACAGAGTGTCAGTTCTCAGTCCAATAAACTTTAATTTCTAATTCAGTCAATATCTTATCCATGAGTAATAGCATGCATGTGATCCTGATTTACATACAATATTTAAGGTCATCTGCACAATGGCTGGAATCTGATATCTTCACCTGCATTATCTTAACTTCCATGCACACTTAAGTAGAACATGAGAGATTCTTATTCTGTTAAGTGCTTGCAGTTGGTGAGGGACCATGTATGAGAAGTAAAAAACGACAGAGATGATGTTTTACGGCAAAAGCAGCGGTAAAGTTTGTGAAGTTTACCACAGAGAAAATCTTGAAAATGCTATCATGTCTCTGTCTGATGTAGGAACAGCACATCTCTTTGTCAGTAGCATTTCTCATACATGTCATATCAGGTTATTGTTCTTATACATGCTTGTTCAGGTATTGTATTAAAGTCAAATAAGTGTTTCTGTGTATGTGTTGTTAATGTCTCCCGTTGATGAGGACAGAGGACACACAAATTGGATCTGTTTCTGGTATTACATTTTATTTGTATTATATAATATATTTCCAGCTTACTGTGTAAATATGTGTTTCTCTTTTTAATTTGAAACTATTCTGGTTGTAATAATGTTTTCTTGAAGTATTTGAATATGTAGGCACTGACTGTCTGTTACAAGATAACCCATTATTTAAAGTGAAGGGCTACAACAGTAGAAATATTACTCATAAATTCTATTGTTGACAAAGATAATCAACAGCACAGATATTAGAGAGATGCATAGTTTATGCATTGTATTGCACCGTATTTCATTAAATATACATGTAAAGATTGAAGTGTTTGAAAGCCTTTCCATGTTGGCTTTTATTTAAAGAAACCTCTGTCCAAAAGTGTTTAAGATAACACAAAATTTGTACTGATGAATGGCTGCAAATAGCCAGTTTTAACTCCAAGACACAATTCTTTCACACATCTCAGGCACCAAAAATTACTGATCAGAAGGGCCTGCACTTTTAAGCAAGATACCTTATGTGTAGCATGGAAATGGAAATGAGAATACTTTGTTTTGATTGTCTCGCATTTCTTGGTGGTCTATCGCTATGCATCTCTCTGTCTGGGCCATTGTGCACAGTTTACCTTCTTACCTCATTTAAGATTCAGTAATCTGTGTGATAAGCTTCTGTTTTGTCGTTACTTGTGACCATTCTTGCGATGAGTATACATATGGTACTTTGTGTCAAAAAGGGCTCCACAGGTGCAAACAAAAGGCTCTGCACCAGCTTTATGCATGATGGTAACGTGTGTCCTGAGAGTTGCTGCATCTCGATAAATCCTCCGACACTGAGGACAAGGTCGTGGTTCATGAAATGCTAGCTTACGCTTATGACTGCCTCCACTTCTAGGCTCTGTAAAGACAAATACATAGAATTGGTTGGAACAGTGTGAAGGAATGACAGCACATGTTTATGCCTGTGTACATTTATTTGAAAAGTAATATAAACATGTGGTTGTTGTGGTGTGATGAAGTGTGTGAATTATTTTCAAAATAACATAATGACTTTAAGGATGGACTGGTAAATTGCTTAAGGTGACTTCAACTCTTATCTTAGGTTTTTACAGAACAAATTATGTACCTTCTTTGGTTGTTACTGTATGGCCAACAAGTGGAACATTTTGAAAGTTACCATCAACTATGAAGTTACCGTAAGAGTCTGAACTACAAGTAATATTTAATATGTAAAACTTGGATATCTCCAAGAAAAAATAAAATTCATCCTTCATTAAACATTCTTTATTCTGAGAATCAGTTCCCATAACATCTGTTTATGGCTGGTTGATTTCTAATGCCTCCAGGGACCTTTCCTGGCACTGCCAACCTTAGATCAAGCTAGAATCGAAGGTGGCTGTCTTCTGGGATGTTGCACCATGTATTTTGGTGGATATTGACTGATGTTTCAGAGGAGTTTGTTGCCTCCATCATCAGGATGATGAGTCACTCATCACCTTGATGGTAGAGGCAGTAAGCTCTGAAATGTCAGTATCTACCAGACTACATGATGCAACATCCCAGAATATAGCCACTGTTTCCTTCTATCTGGAGAAAGATAATGCTATGCAGTGTGTTATATCATTTGTTATTTAGATGTCCAAAGAAAATATTCCCAGGCTAAATAACTTACTATCATAGAAAGTACTGAAAATGCTACACCTCAACCAACATAATAAAACTGATAAGTAATAACATGAGGTATTGATGTCATATGAGCATATCACATCACATACCACATAGAGCACTGAAAATTTGATCTGGTTTTGTGGATGTAACCACAGATACATTGAAATTGAAAATAATCAATAGTGAGGAAGATTGGTCACATTCCTTTAGTACAAATTGTAACGACCTGTGTGACATTTGACGTGGTCACTTTATCCATGTTGCTGTAAGACATTCAGTAAAACTGAGTTTCTTAACATTTCTGGCAGTGGCAGTAGACAATTCATAAGTATTCTTGTTAGTGAAACTTTGTTAGCTTTTACTAGTTTCATGATGCAGAATCTCCCAGAAGCAATTTGTACTCAGTAAGATTCATAATTGGTATCACATAAGCTTGCCACTTAGATCCGGTTCACCCCTTCAAGCCTTCGTCTTCAAGATCCATTTTAATATCATCTCTCTGTTCCTAAGCCTCCAAACTTGGCTCTTCCCATGACATTTACAGGCCAAAATGTTATGTGAAGTTCTTGTTTCCTACTCATCTCATCCTAATCAAAACTGATAATTCTTTACACACTGTCTTATTTTTTAAGCATTGCTGTTGCAGTAATGGCTGCTAAAGTGTATGCACAGCATCTGTTCATCACCCTTTAATCTGGGCCCAAAGAAAAGATCTACATTGTAAAATTGTGCTTATACCACCACAGATTTCCTAGTCTTCTTGTGAAGAAAAATTAATTTCAATCTGCTTCATATCTCTTTCTGTTAAGATACTCACTTTACTTTAACTGAAATCAGTGAACTTTTGTGTGTCATTGGATCATGATTTTCCTTTAGATTTAACAAGCACATAGTAGTAAGGCACAATTTAACACCTATCTTCAGAATTATATCTCTCAGAAAGTCAAAGTCCACATGCAGCCTATAAAACTGAGCAGATAATAACGTGTTTGACATATATTTGGGGAGTCTCTGGTTTGAATCTTGATGGCAGTTATCCAGCCAGGTAATTTTTGTGTTTTTCTCAACTCCTCCATGTGAATACCAGGATAACATTTTAAAATAAGTCATGACTGCATCCTCTGCAGTCCTTTCCATTTCACCAAATACAGTCATTCTTTTCATCTCATCCAGCAATAAATAATCCTTAAGTTAATTTAATGTTGTGAACATAAAACCAAATTCTGTGTTATCAGACTGATGATAATCTGTTATTTCCAGAATGAGTTATTTCATCTCACAGATAACTTCTCCCTTTGGAAAAGTCACTCTGACAATCTGGTCTTACACATAATACATGATTGTTCCATTAATTATACAATTTGTTAAGATTAGCTCAACCAGGGGGCCCAACAAAGTAGGGTTTTGACCTCCCACTGATTGCCTGAAGATGGGAGTAGAACCAGCATCTGAAATGCCATTGTTTTCCTTGCTGCCTCCATCATCAGGGTGATTATCACCCTGACAATGGAGACAGCATTAAACCCAGAAGACAGCCATCTTCATACTCATCACTATGAGAACCTCAAATCCTACACAGAACTTTCTTGCTTTTTTTTAAACAAGTCTGTTTTTTATGAAAATCCACTTTATAATTTCATCAAATATTTATGTACAAATAATGTACCATAGCATTTATTAATTCATCATACTTGGTTATATTTATTTCACATATAAGATATACAAAAATGTAAGTGTATAATTATATCATATGCTAAGCACTATTTAAAAGTAAAAGTTCCTATTATACATGCTACTTCTTTGCAGTCTAGTTTAACATACAATAAAACCTCCATACAGTGAAACTAAAGGGGATTAAAGACATTATGGTTTAAGTTAAAAGTTTCATATATCCGTATGTTTTATCTCCAAAACTATTGAACTGACACAATGAAATGAAATTTCCACTGGAAGTTTTCAAGTAAATTTCATAAAGATAATAGGCCTATATCTGACAGGAACAGAATCTTTCATAACAAGCTATTAACTGTTCAGCCATTCAAGATATTCTATGCCTTTATGAAACCAATAGCCTCATTACTGTTTTCACAAGTCTGCTGATGTATCCTGCCTTAAGCAAGTCAACTTGAATATACCCACTTCTGTAAGCTCAATTTGAAATTAACCTCCTACACAAGCTTAAGTCTCCAAAGTGTTCTTCTCCTTTCAGGTATTACATCTAAAATGTGTGCATTTCTATTCTCTCCATGCATGCTACATGTCCATCTTAGTGTGGCAAAAAGTAACGACACAAACAAAAGTCCCCAACAGACTGAATACACTTATTACAGCAGTCATATAAACTTTGGAATAACTTGGCAAATCCAGATACTGTGATGGTATTTGGTTTTACCATCGTGTTTCTGAATGCCATTGATAGTATCAAATCAGTTACCTTTCAGTCTCAATTTCAACCTGGGAAACGGAAAAAGTCTTATGGAGCCAGGTTGGAGGAATATGAGAGGTGACTGAGCACTGCAATCCCTTTTTTGGTCAGAAATGTCCTTACATTGATCGCTGTATGAGCCAACGTGTTGTCATGCAAAAGCCACCAACCAGAATGTTCCAAGTCTGTGATAAGTATGGATCTTACCAATTCCTTATTCACATTTAGTTCACTTCCCATCATTCAGAGGGTTAATTCGTGGTCTCTTGTGAGTAAATTGCTCACTTTGTCCACTAATTTGGAGATCATTTTCAATCATTCACTGTGAGGTTCATCTTCCTCATCCTCTCTGCCTTCTTGAAAATTCTTAAATCATCGAAATGTTTGTGCTGAGGACAGAGCCTCATCGCCATAAGCTGTTCAAAACATTTCATGTGTTTCAGTGGGGCTATTTCCCACTAAGCAGTTTTGTAAATGAAACCTACAGATGGATGGACTTTTCAAGGAAGAATTTTTGTACTTGTGTTACCCAGACCTGCTTAATTGAATTCTAAGGTCATAATACTCCACCATCATTGATGGCACATCACTCAGTGACACCCAGTATTAATGTATTACATTATATGCTGTAAGGGCCCAATATTTTCTTTGTTATAGTAAGTTTGGTAAGTTAGTAAGATTGAGGTTTTATTGTTTAAATATTTCTATAAGATAAAGACACATATGAGGATGTTCCAATAAACAAGATGCACTCTTGTAATATCAGTAGATCACTGTGTATTAGCAATGTTAAATTTTTATCACTGACCCATGCTGCCCATATTTCATTAGTAATACCAGTGTGAAGATAAGTTTTCTAAAAAGTGACTAACCATTAAGGTTCAGTGTATGACCCAAATCTATTACATTAATTGGAGGAAAACTTGTTGAAGCATGTATCAAGATCTTAAAGCATCAATCTTGTAACTCATAAATGCTCACTCAATTGTTTATTATGGAGTGACACATTTTGAACTGAAGCATTTGAGTGACCAAGTGTGAATCTAAAAGGTTGAAAAAATCTAATGGCACTGTTTTCACATTCTACTTGATCATTTAATTTATTCTGGGTTACTGACTCACATAAACTATCAGAAGTCTTAACATCAAATAGACTATCTGGAAGCAGGTGTAACTTGGTCATCACTCCCTCTGAAAAATGTGATGTCAAGGCACTCCTTGAAATAGATTAACTTGATAGAATAAAAGAAACTGATTGGATTACTAAGTAATAAACCTCCAGATCCTCAAAATTATTTACTGAGTGGCAGCTGGTTTCATTAATACATTTTACTATAGTTATCCTCATATGTTTGTACAGGTCACAAGTCTAATTTAAATGGCTATAGTATTGGCCCACAGTTGATCTTTCTTATCACTGTAGACCACCTATACCAGTGGATGCTTTCTGTGTTAGTCTTTTCTTCAGCTTGTCTTCATTATTCAGTTTTATTCTTATGGCTTCCTTGACATGATGCTGATCCACACCAAATTTGGTCATCACAGCATCTGCAAAGCAAAGGGAAAATGTAAACTGTCTTAGGCATTCAATCAAAATTAAATGAATTATCTGTCAAACTTGAAAAATAGGTAGATTTATGCTAATTTAATTTCTGTGTTGAAGTATAATGTAAAGACAATAAACTGTATTCACTCATTGATACTTAAAGTTTATACAACTTGGCTGTGATGTGACATACACTAATGATGCAGATACAAATAATGAAATACATTAATTTCAATACAAATGTAGAACTGTATAACACATTAAAAAGAGATACTAGAATTAAAACAATTGTGAAATTCTACAAAGTTATGGTGGTGCCCCATATTATGTGGTAGTGAATCATGGGACAGTAAAAATGAAAGATCAGAACAGATACAAGCAAAAAAATGACATATTTAGGATACATGAAATATTGTAGTACAATAGAATAAGAAATGAAGGTTTAAGAAAAGAATTACATATATTTTTATTGAATAAAATCTACAATAAAACAGACTGAAATGGGAAGAATGGAAGGAACCTGCATTTTATTATAATTTGCATAAAAAATTATAATGAAATATGGCAATTATACTTAAATAGATAACAGTATGAGGTGACAACTGAGCTGGTCATATTACCTATAATTTGATTAACTTTCTGAATGTCCAGTCTTGGTTTTGAAGTTCCAGTCCCATTAAGACTATGTGTTGCCAGCATCTCTCGTCCAAACATGGCCACCAGCAATATATTGGTGTATTTCTTATATTCTCTGCACATTAACATTTGGAGTCGAAGTTGTGGAGATATGTTGATCATATGCTCAATGCCTTGGAATCTTGAAGATGTCTTCCCTTCTTTTGGCACATATTCTCCTGGCCTCATAAATTCTGTTTCTGATGTTTGTCTTGAATTCCTGTATGTGTGTTGGTCACTGTTGTGAGGGAATGAATCTTTTCTCAAAAATTGTGCAGCATCCAAGTCCATATTTTCTGTAGGATTTTCACGAGACTTGTCTGAAGACACATCTTTGTTTACAGCAGTTTGCTGTCTGTCATTTGTATGAGTTAATTTCAGTTGTTCCCATGGTTTGAGACCCTTCAATTGATTTTGTGTGTCAGATCCTAATGAGGATGAACTCTGAGCAGTAGCACCAGATGACATTTTCCATTGTCGGTTTTTGTTGTTGAATAATGATATTGTCACTTCATCAGACCTGGAGTCCTCTTGTGTTTTGGTGACTGTCCCTGCTAATACAGTAAATCAATCTGATTATCATTCTAGAATTATTCTGCAGTGGGAAATTTTATGATTTGCATTTACTATTATTAGGGATGTGCAAAACCGTAAACTTCTTTCAAACATGACACCAAATGAATGTACATGTAGAAGAATTTGGAAAAAGATAGATATCACTTTATTTGGTAACAACCTGGACTATGGATTATGGTTATTGTGATAATACTTTATTTCACTTGTGGATTAAGATGTAAATGTCTCTGTACAAATTTTTTATGGTAAAAGGGACTTTTTGATCACTGTATAATATCAACCCCTGTTATTCATGTCATGCACTTGTAACTAAAAGTCTTGTTAACTTTGTAGCAGAAATAAACATTTGAAATTTATAAACAGAGTGTGACAAAAGATTATAGTGAAGTAAATATGATTTATGGCCTTAGAATTTTGCACATCTCTAATATTGCCATACTTGATTGTCTTTACAATTTTAAGAAAGTACTGTAGCCATGCAAATAAAAATTCAGAAGTATAAAATAAGAAATATAAATATTATATGAACAAAACTAAATATAATAATAATAATAATAATAAATGTGAATGTGAAGCAGAAGGTTGTGATAATGGCAATGACAACATGGTGATGACTGATGATGATGATGATGATGATAATAATAATAATAATAATGCACAAAAGAACACTTACCTTACTGTAATTAGTAGCTTCTGGTTTCCAGATTGAATTTATATTTCAACCAAGCTTTCTTCTAAATAATGAAACATAACATTTTCACATAAAAAATAAATCATAAATAAAGTGTTTAAAACAAAATGCTACTTTGGAAGAACTTTTGATAGCTGTGTTTTATCAATCAAATATGGCTTTTAAAAGTATATCAATGCAAATCATACTTTATTGCATTTATAGAAAAATAAGTACAACACATTTACATATGGCAAAATAAATAAATAAATGCAGCACTACGACAGCTTGTTTACAAACTACAGAACAAAGCTGGGAAGCAAAAGCTGCACACTGACATCCAACAACAGGCTTAGGAGAATCTCATCTAACATTTTAATTTTGCACCAATATGAATTAATCACATGATCTGTTGCTTATTGTGTTAAAGTTAATTTTCATACTGAATCAAGGCATCTGTCTGATTAGCTGGAGAGTCCCAGTTTGCAGACTAAAGTTGTTATAACATAATGGTTGGATGGGCCTAACACATACCTCGCATGTAGCGACAAATAAGTATCGGGCATTATTAAAATTATGATGGTGGAGAGAAACATATCCTCTACAACTTGGTCCAATACAAAACATACATGGATTTCCCTAGGTTTCCATGGTGAAAAATCATAATCTAACTGCTTGAGTTAGTGCATGACACTGCTTTCAGTAAATCTAAATAATTCTAAGGTTATTTCAAGAGACACGCATATCACATTGAATTAGAGGAACTGAATTTTTCAGTTTTAAAGATGGCTGTTAATGCACTATGAAAATTAAAACTAAGGTTCCTTTCAGATGCTATTTTCCAGGGCTAGTAAATGCTGTATATTTTGCCACTTGAAAGAAGTGTGGTACGAGGTACAATAGTTTATTAGGTTTAAAACGTCATCTGCCGATGGGCTTAGATTTTATAAAATAATTCAAACCTCATGGACTATACATATATATGAATACATAATTATCATTTCAGCTCTTATTATTTTACTGTATTCATAGCCCTGTACTACCTACTTTTACTCTAAATGATAAAAGCAAAACTTTCTTGAAAATATGTGACAAAATAGAAGTGTCAGAGCCATATGGTTGGAATAGACTTTTGAAAGGAACAAATAATTGGTTTCATTAGTACAAATAGATGACATACAAAGTTACTTTTTCTTGTAACTGATCATATGCTACTGGCAGTTAAATTATTCAACCTATATATTGGGATATGGAAGCAGAGGGATTGGATATACACAATCTTTGTAAATTTGCAGTGTTTTATTAAGGTAAACTGACATCTTGTAGATCATACTTTTAAATGGTACAGTTGACATAAGTTCATTGCTGTTGAATATCTTCACAGCAGTTTCAGTAAGAGTGGAATCATTGGACTGTACATTCAGGTAGGGCAAATGTGTCTAGATCACTGAAACAGTGTTTAACACCTGTGGTCATAAAGCCATAGTTTTATGTTTTAAATATACATAATTAATAATAAAACTATTTTAAATAACTCAGTACTAATACAGCTTCCTAGCATTTACCTGTTAATGTGCAATTTCTATTGGTTACCACATTTCAGACTACATTAAATAGGACCGAGAAGTGGTTGTATCAGCAAAACTTTTGGGTTTCAGTGAGTGAATACCATCAGAGTAAAAAAGTGATACAGATAAAGAAATAATCCACAACACAATTACCAACCAAATGATAGCTTCTATACATATAATTTGTTACTTGTCAGTTCATTAAGAATGTGGAGTCTATGCATTCATGGATCTAATTTATTTTGTAACAAGCATAGAAAGAACAGATCACATTTCCTCCTACAATTTTGCATACCTGATCGGCTTTTATGTTCAAAATGGTAAATATAATGTATTGCTGCAAAACTAATTACACTGCATAGAGCCATGAAATCATTTCTGAGAAGAAATTACACAGTTGAATTTCAGTTTCTTGTTAAATAGATGTTATACTGGGCTGATGAAATCTGCAAAATATCTTTTATTGTGTACATTCAATATCAAATATCACTGAAATCAAGTGAACAGTTTTGAAAATGAAACAAGTGGACAGGCATGACCTCCTCATTATGTATTTATTTTACAAACTTCATGTAAAAACTCTTGGCAAGAATCATATAAGATTATTACATCATTACAAATAACATTTCTAATTAGAATGGATAACCATTTGTGATTCCATGATCGCATATTGGTTTGTAAATGTACAATGAATGAATAGTCTAATATCACTGATGACTTCAGTGTGGGATGGTGTTGGTAGTGCAACAGGATTTTGTACCAGCACAGTGTTAAGTTTTAGAGGAACTGTATATACATGACTCTTCATTCTCACATTCCTGTTTTATGGTAAAGAGAGTGTCATTGTTTCTATGGCATTTTTGTTACTATACTACTGACCAACGACAGTAGAATTCTGCAACTTAAGGCAATCTATGTGCATTATTTGTAATACAGTAAGCTTTTGCTACATCTAATGCAGTGAAATACAGTGGATTCCAGTTAATTGGGACACATCAGAACTAGAACACTTTGGCCCAATTAAGCGGCTGCCCCAATTATGCGAAGCTCCACATAAAGTCTTAAAAAGGCTTGTTCTTTAAGATTTGTCCCAAATAAACCGCTGCCATGATTAACCAGAATCTATTGTATACTAAAATTAAAAATCCCGTCTCACTTGAATTGAAAGGGCCAGTAATCTGTTAGTGTTAAGATGGAACGAATTTCAATAGTGTGGCAACGAGTTTATGCAGGTCCTGTAGACCAGAGTATATTTGAACTCAGCAGTAAAAGAATGTGCAACAAATAATATGTAACAGTCATATATTTTTACCTTGATCTGCCTCAGATGAGTTCAGAAGTATGTTTCCCAGTGAAGGAGCCTCCTTTCCTGTTGATACTCCTTCATCTGCAAAAAGTTAAACAGTCACAGACAACACAGTTTATTATATTTAAATTAAAAGTTATAGCAATTGATAACAAGAATTGATTATTTTACTTCGTACAATTTCATGCGTGAATCCTTAATGCGACTGGAGCGCACAACTGAAAGACCAGAGACCAAAATTTTACACTTTAATAACTTAGCACATGCCTAACCAACTCCATGTACAGGGGCTTACTTGAGCATTTGGTAGTTATTCAGCTTATCAAGAAATTCCCTTATATGAAACCTGGAGATAACAAAATCTGCCAGTGGATCCTATCATGAGCCAATGCATTCCAGCTCACATCTTCACAGTTAATTTCTGTAACACTTATTTTAATACTAACAGAAATATTACTAACCTATCACCTCAAGTTTATCCAATCGAAAGGTTGTATACATTTATTTCTGCAATGTGTGACGTGTTCTGTCGGCACAAAATTCTTTACCCAAGAACACAAACAGGCTGTCGACATCGGTCTTCTAGGTTGTAATGACGGGTGGACTTGTAAGTAGATACCACCATTTCAGCTGAACATACTGCCTCCATCTATCAACAAGTCTACATCATGTTACAACCCAGAAAACTGACACTGACATGTTCACAAATGTGAGAACCTCAAATCTCATATAATATGGGCTGTGTGAAAATATAAGCTTACTGCTGGATGCTCTGGTTGCAACTCTCTTCAGCATTTGTGCTGCCAGAAGACCAATGCCTAAAGATCCCCTTCCAGGCCCTGCTGTCAGGATCATTGAGGGATTAGCATAGCCGTTGTTGAAATCATGTTGATCTGTATCAGACGAGTTTTCATCCAGAGTTGATGACTGATTGGTTGCAAAGTTTTCAAACTGTTCTGAAACATCTGTGGTCTCTTCTTTCACTCTGACATCATCTAGGAAGACTGACTGCAAAATCCAGGACAGGTGGGGAATACAAAGTTTAGTGGTTTTTAAGCATTAGGTAAATAATAAAATTCTCATATTAATTAATTAACTTGTTTTGGGCTATATATGCACACTACTACTGGATACTAACATAAATTGTAAATATTATAAGTACAAAAAAGCTACAATTTATACTAACAGTATGAAGCTATGAGGGAAATCATATGGCACGTGTATCACAGATGATTGAGAGTCCTTGCTGCCACACAACAAGCTAACACCTACCACCTTGTTTGAATCCTGGAATAATCTATACAGACTGAACTGACTTCAATGAAAGAGTGAGTGAGTGATAATGTACCCTCCCCACTCCTCAGTTCCTTCTAAAGGCCAAGTCAATTGGAACTTCTTAGATTTCATTGGATAGAGAAATCTACATATAAAACTAGAAAAGTTCTGATATATTTTTATTTCAACAATTACATGTTTTCAATACATGTGTCTTCCTCATTCTATGCAAAGTTCCATTTTCCTGAACTACCTCCAGAAACAATGGTACCATTCAATTTATTTCACTTCTGCAAGCGGCTGTTTGCAAGCATATAAGCTCCTTCAGGACTTTAATGACCTTGAAGACTTGGGATTGTAGTATGAAGTTAAGCATTCAGATTCTTTGGTTCTGCCACCTAAAGTGGCAAGTGCATAGAGAATGTTAACAGTGAAACCCATTGGAAAGAGCCACTTGGAAAGACCAAGAAGATAGCATATTAATATTAAGATGGTGAGGATGGATGATGGATGGAATTAGATCAGGAATGTGTCCTATGGTAGGCTTTGGTATTAGTGCTATTGAATCTTCATGTTCTAAGCCAGAATTACTTATTTTTGTGTTTTGCCAAATGACCTATGAGATTTACATTTAACAAAATTAAAAGAATTCAATCTGGTGAATTCTGCAGTAAAGGGATTTTAGTGTACATAAACAGAGCTGCGTTTTGATAAACTTCAGTCTGGTTGACTGTCAGCAATGCATACCAAAGAACACATAACACAGTGCACTCAAAAAAATATATTCATTCACATGTTCTATGAGCTGCTGATAGCTCAGTTAGTATAGTGTCTAACTATGGACTGCATGACTGGGGTTTGATCCAAAATAGGGGCAAAGTATTTTTCTTCTAGCCTCTGCCACCCAGACTGAATTTTGGGCCTGACCACTCACTTCTATCTGGTGCTGAGGTCAAGGATGAATAATAGTTATATATATCCTTCCCCAAGTGCCTTCGTGGTGTGCTGTGGGATAGGTTTTCTTTACTTTATTTTACTCACATGATCTGGTGCTAGGGATGAATTGTTAGATTCTTCTCCTCCACCATCATCTTCATCTCTGTCTACTGCCATGGGCATAACAACATTACCATCCACTTTTCCAGGCTGCTGGATACATTGTAACATTGGGATGGGTCTGGGCTTTCTTCCAAGTGAAGATTTCATTACTGATCTTGTTTGTACTGCTGTTTCAGTTTTCTCTGTCAGAGACACTGATTTTCCTAGGAGAGTTACATTGCTGGCATTGTTCTGTTGGCTGCCTTTATATTCACATGCTGCTGTATCTTGATTCTGAGCCCCTTCAGCCATAGGTGTAATTAAACTGCTTGTTTCATTTATCTGTTACAGCAAAATATAATTTCATTATATACATGTAAATAAATACATAAGATGGAAAAGTCCAAAGAGTATTTACAGAGCTGAAAATTTTTAACTATATTGTTAGAGGTATAATTTGGAACTTAAAAATGTTAGAAAAGATTCAACTTCTTACATAAAATATGACAGTGGACTATTATGACATAATGGAGCAGGAAAAATATAACAGTACTGTTACATCCAGCTTGAAAGACCAATATTTTGCTGTCTCAACTTGAGTGAGTACTTACTCCACTGTCCAATTCCTGATCAAGTCTCTGGTTGATGTCCTGCAGACCTCGTATCTCAAGGATCTGTGCTGTGTGAAGTAGTTTGGCAATTCTGTCTTGTTCAACCCGTACCTCTCCATGGTACATATAAACCAGCAAGTCTTTCAATTCTGCCACCCCAACATCCTTTAAAATAATAATTGGATGTGGACATGGATTTTCCTATAAAAAAGTGAAAGTATTATTTAAAGAACCAAAGAATAAGTACATTTATTTACCCCTACTACAGGCCCACCAATGTTAATAATAGAATTTCCTTACATTTATTATAACATCTCTTAACAAAGGAATTAGCACCGAACTACTTAACATTAATCCAACACTTTTTGTAAAAATAATGTAAGCAGTTCTTCACATAATCAACAACTTTTCAGTCCATTCTGATAAGAAGTGATATTATTTTAAACTTAATCTGTATATCACTGTAATACACATCCTGCACAGCATGTCAGAATGTTGGTACTGTGCTTATGAAATATGATAATCAATACTGATATTGACAATAGTACCAAACCTTGAGTAGCCTCTTCAGGTACTGGCTGCAAGCAGACAAAACTAGTTTGTGAGCTCTGATGCTTTCTCCTTCACAAGCCAAAGTGACATCCACAAAGTCACCATCACCATAAGAAGATTCGAGGGAGTTGATTATGTTGTCAGTGAAACTATTCCATGTGAGACATAGTTGAAGTTTATTGTATGAGGAATCATCCACCATTGTCACTGTGTTAACTAAAAGATAAAAAATGTGGATCATCAGTGTTTGAAAATGTATGCATAACATAACATAAGTCAGGTGCCTTTGCCAGAATTTGGCCTTTGGTCTTAACAGGTAGTGGTAGTGACAGTCAAGCATTGTCTAGGGCATCCAGCATCTGTCTGGGTGATGCTAATACAGGGATTCTGTCATGTGGTTGCAGGGCTCACTGGGCAAACTCCATGCTGGAATTTACCATCTGTTGATTCCCCACTTCTGTTACAGAAATACATGTAGCTCTTCATGTAAAGTACCAGATACTTTTAACAAAACTGGATTTTGTCAACAAATTCTAGTAAACCTCTCATATACCAAATTTCCTAAAAATGGTTTGGGGTTCTTCGAGTTGTTGCATTCACACAGACTAACATGGTGAAGCTAACAGGCACATCCTTGCAACTCTTAGTTGTGAGCGTCTTCTATGGCTATACGAAATTCATGTATATGTCCAGAAATCAGTTAGGGAGCATTGAACAGTTTATGCTGGTCAAATTTTTTTTTATTTATTCAAAACAAAATGATATCCCAATAAAAACTACATGTTTTGAAGATGTCACCATACCAAATTTCTGGGCCAACATTTTGCATTGATTCTGTTTACATCTAATAGGTTTCTACCAGCTACCCTGAGGATGAGAGCAGAGATGGCTCTCGAAACCTTTGCGGAAGAAATGGTTTCGGCCATCTGACGCGAGTTGTTGCCCGAGAGTCTTTCATCAACTTCGGTCGCCGCGAAAGCTCCACATTATACATAAGTTTCTACCATTTACAATGACACGTAGTTTGTAAGAACACCGATAGATGGCAGAACGATCGCCACTGAAAACCGTGACATACACATATTAACTGCCCCAAATTATGTTCTTTGGTCACGCCAAGACATAACACCTAAAAATTTAGAAAATTCGTTTATAATTACTGTATTCTCAAAGTATACCTAAGTGTTTTACAGCTGTTTGGATAACAAGTATATGATGGCACGCTTTGAGAAACAAAATGCTTGCATTTTATAGGACACAACTTTTGTCTGAAATGTATCTTTCATTAGTTTAGTTTTCAGGTTGCTGGACTGTGTTGGAACGAACTGCAGTGGGAAATTCAAACATATTTTTAACCCAGTCAGTACACGTACAATAGGAAAAATGATCAGAAAACAAAGCAGTCGGAGCTTGACAATGACTTCATCTCCATGTGGCGCGACTGTTGTAAGGGGAGGGGTTAATATTTCATTTTGCGCACGACCTAAATCAGGATTTGCCAATGACCAAAATATGCACGAAGCAAGGCCTTATATTGTTGCAAAATTTGCCTACAATTCATGTTAGTATACAACCCTGTCGAACCCAATGGCCGTGCGGGTAAAGTGCAGCCGTAAGCGAAAACGAAGACGGATATGTCGACCTAGAACTTTTCTGCTCGCTCTTTTGCGTACTTTGCATGGAGTGCAGAGCGAAAACGCTTTTTGGGCTGGTCGTGTCCGTCTAGTCGATTCAACTCGAGAACCACTGGACGGATTTGGATGAAATTTGATGTGGAGGTTCGGCAATTCTGAACGACCTCAAAATCACGCTGTTGAAAGCCCTACCAGCGGCGATAACAAAATGACAGATGAGGAAAGTAGTGAGGTAGATATTGACGTGCTGCAATCAGGAGGCCAACATGGGTACTATTGAGCATGGCGTACGGAAAAAAAAAAATTAAACGCACGTTGCAAAGAAGCATGAGGATAAGTGTATTCCTGTACGGAATACACTTTCCGAACTTGTTTCATCCATCGTCACAACTCACCTTCCACCTTTTCAGTATTCCTGGGAACAAGGGTCTGGCGACCTCTGGAAATACGTTCAGAAAACAAAACATTAACTTGTTCATCCTGAACTGCGATCCACGGAACGCACAATAGGTAATGCAATCTAAGCCCACTCTACTAGGCCTACGTAATGAATGTGTTCGTACAAATTCACCCATCAATCATGTTTTACATGATAGTACGTTTTACTTTTTTTGAAAGTAAGGCTATCCAGTAAGTTTTCTAAACGTACGGACTGTTTTGTAGTGTTCCGAAAAACGCACGCAGTTTTGAGTAAGAGCCCAGAATAGCTGTTTAATGTGGTAATTATCAGTCACATAAAATAACATTACATACATAACATTTGGCTCTGTGACATAGTGAATCAGAAAAAGTATATTTGGAATTAAATTTACTCATTTAAATTTCCAAAAGTGTTTTAGTGGGTTTACATTTTTACATAAGAAGTGTGCCTTCATTTCTGGTATTTTATCAGGCAATTATGTTTTGTGTGGTAACACTGCAAATAACAAGTAAAAGTTCGTGCTTGTGAAGTATGTAAACACAGTTGATTTTCTACTGTGGGTACATACAAATGTAATCAGTCCTTTGTATATCACAGTGTGTGGGTCATGATACACAAAAATAAACTGTGCTAAGAAGATGCAATTCACATCACTTTGCTGTGTAGTGTGTGGAGTATAGTGTTAATAGTTTGAATAAGAGACCTTTCAGCAGAACTCATGACTTAGAAGGTAAGATTCATCAAGTACTATTTTTCATTAAACAATAACATACTTTCCTTTTAAGAGACTTTTTCCCCCCTGGAAGGAATTTTGACCATATGTACTTTTCTGTATTAGAAACTATTTAGGCTTATACACATGTTCACATTTGGCAGCAGGTAGGAACTCTCCTTGGAGACAGTCCTACTTCAGGGAAGTGAGAGCCCCTGCCCACATGAACTCCAGGTTCCCCTTAACCTGAGGGGTAGCAACCTGTAAGGGTTCCTCTACCAGGATTACGGTAGATAACATAGGGCAGTAGCTATGTATTACTGGGCTGAGGCTATTGAAGAATGACTTCCCTAAAGGCTAGACACCAGATACTCACAAGCGGTAATCACATCTTGATTTAACCGGTTGTGATACTGCCACGAGAAAAGCCACAGGAAACTACCTCATTATTATCCCTAGTCAAAATTATGGCAAGAAATCAAATTGCCTTAATGATAGCTAACCTCTGTTTGGAGACCGCACCTTAAGAAGAAGAAGATGTGTTCATAGTGAGAGCATTTTAAGAAGATAAATATCTTATTGTAAATCCTAGTTTTATAACTCCTGGATAATTTGTTGGATTATGATAAGAAGCTCAGCTTTGGCAAAATTCACTTCTGCCCCTATCATGCCATCTATTTATGACAGCATATGAAACCAAGACAGTACCCGAGGATGCCAACACAATGTCAAAGTTACCAGGGTGTATTTTGATCCAAGTGGTTTCTGGTTAGGCTAGTCTGACCTAGCTTAAGTTATTTTATTTTCTATAACTTGTTTTCTCTACCACAATACTTCTCAAATAATTTTACAGATACATTTTCCATCGAGTCTATTTACTTTGAGACATAGTTTTAATAATTTAATGTATTCATAATGGATTGTCAGTTACACCATAGCAAGCAACAATAATGCACTTGTGTCATATGCATGTCATATCTTCTGTATTGTTACACTGCACATATATTTTCTGACTTGTTCGTAAGTTATTCCATATCTGTATATCTGAAGGGCTGTTCAGTTGAGTCAGTTTTATCATCAGTGCAATTATGAAGTACTATGTGCAGCAATCAAAACCCTGGATGGTTATTGGGTCACTTAAATGCCTCCAAATTAAACCAGATAGCATTAACTTTATTTTTAAATTTTTACCCACATCATAAATAGCAACTACCTATTTTTTTGGTTATGGAAAAAAATAAAATTCCATCATTATACCATCTTCACATTTTCAATAATTAGACCTTGAAAGTGTTAAAGGCCCTTCAAAAACAATATAAATTCTTAATCTAACAGAACTCTTTGTCACTGGGAACCACTTTTACATCTGTCCCCTAAAAGTGTTAATGAATTTGACTGCCTTTGTATGTTTCTTTGTGTGTGTGTGTGTACACAAGTACATATGTCTGATGTGAAAGTCACTTCACAATGGAAATGTTGAGGTTGTAAACATGTGTGGCTGAAAAGGTCTGTGACAGTGTTAAAGTATTGCCATTAGGCCTAATAATGAGTATCTTTATTTATATAACACTTCCTACAGAGTTAGTAAAAATTTTTTAATCTGAAAATAGAGACAGAATCTGAAACCTTGTATATATTTTTTTTTATTATCTGCAGGATGTGCAAAGTATTAATGCAATGGTAAAGCTTTGTATGTCCACCTGCATACATGCTTCATTTCCAAAAGTGTTGGTCAGATTCGGATTTGGTATTGGAGGCTATATTAAAAGTTGCCATATAAATTTAATTTTGGTCCAGATCTGTCCAATACAATGCCTACTTTACATGAAGCTCAGATCAGACTTAAACAGTTTTCACCGAAATGACTCAATAAACAAAAAGTTATACATGGTGTTAAGACCATACCTTTCATTTGAAACAATTTTAGTATGTTTAACATTAACATAAGATATAATATGTTGTTACGCAGTCTGATATCTATAGTGTGATTAGCTTTGTAACAGCCAATTTGTATCTGTAATAAAATAAAAACCATGGCCAATGCCATGTAAAATAGCAAAGAACACATCCAAGAGAACCATATGTTACATGCTGTCCTTTGTATACATAGTAAACGTTTGACTGTTCAAGCATACAGTATGATTTCATAATGTTAATTTCACCATAGCTTGTTTTAGCATAAAAGAAACTGTTAAAGTGCAATATTTTTGTACCTGTCCCCTCACCACCACACTCTGCATGCCACTTTTTGTATCAAACTCAATTTCTCCTTCCTGGTTCGATTTGTGCATATTACTAATACTGTAACATGTATATTTACAAAGAGAACAGATATAGAATTCAGTGCTGATATATTTGTGATTCTGTTTCCTCGTTATAAGTAACAATGGCAGATGCAAAATAGCATTGTGTTATGTGCTGCAACAGTACATTATTTTAACCTTTCTAGTGCCTACATATCTACATAACTGGCATCCATGTAAATGAGAGGATACGTATTAGAATATTCTAGTATAAAGTAAAATGCCAATGGTATTATATTAAAACACTTTCCTTTTGAAAACAGGCAGTTTCTCAATCATTACATTATCCCACAATCTGAGAAATACTGTAGCAGTATTTTGCAAATTTTAGTATCTACTGCTTTTAGTATTCACAGATTAATTTTGTTTCTTAACCTCTGAAATCCTATTTAGAGGTTTGCCATGTTAACTGCACTTCCATACAGCCAGTTACAGTACTACTGGTAATGCAATCCTTGACTGAATTAAAAAAATCGAATCCTTACTGCTGGAAACAAGATTGATTCTGGCAATTGCTTAGTAGTCCAAGACTGTTATATGCCGTTACTTTGAATGCTGACATGAAAATATGTAAACAAAAATGTGAGAAATGTATATTTTCATGAACCTTACAGTATTTCAGGACTGTTACATTTCATTTTTATCTTTTAAACAGTGTGTGAATAACAGTATTAGATAACAGTAACATTTTAAAAACCATACACCAGCTTCGTAAAAGGGCATGTGACCTCAAATGACTTGTTGACCTTGTCAGGCAAAGAATGAAGATGGCTTCAGAAATAGTAAGTAATGTTGTTTATTGTTTTCCCCACGTCATGCATCAGTTTTATTAAACTGGGTTCACAGTGAAACCTCATCCGAAGCACTGTATCAAATGCATGCATTGTTTACCTTGTATCAAGTGCTTTTGACAATAAGAAATTGACGTCTGTGCGTAACACTGTTTACTATAAACTTCAGTTGTATTCCTTTATTTCCAATAGGTGTCGGTGGATATCAGTCCAAACTGATTTGGGTGGGGGATGGTTTCCTTTGGAATATAGATTTTGTCAGTAGTGAACATCCCAATTAGTAAAGCCGTTTTGCATCTTTAAATTTTGTAATGTTCGTAAAGCAACTTAATAACAGTCTTATTGGTTGTTGACTCTAATATATGTAACTATGATTTACTTATGTAAAGGATGGCAATGCATGGTTACTAGAACTTTCACTGCTGCTGAGTGACGTAGTTTTGCATGTAACCAGAAGATGGCAGCTTATGGTCTATTCATGTGAGATGAACGAATAAATTCTATGAATAATGTCACTAATTCAAATATAATATTTTATCCCTTCTACAAACAAACTATTAAACGTAGAAATTATGTCTTATATGTGGTGAGAAAGTAGAACTTTCATTGAAAGATAAGTTTTGTTTTGACCTAAGAGGAAGGAATAGCAGTATGGAGAAAATTAACTAATAAAAAGCGTCATGATTTGTAATATAGAAAAACTGTAGGGTGATTAAATGAAGGACGACAGGATGGATGGAACTAGTTATATCCCTTGGGGAAATGATAAGAACACGAGTTTGGTTAGAAAGCTTCAAATAAAAAGACGACTTGGGGAACGTAACGTCGATCTAAAGTGGTTAAAGTGGAAGTTGAGTTGCGAAAAAGTGTGGTGAACTTTCGGATACCATACAGGGAATTTCTTAACCAGCTGCATAACCATAAAATTTTCAACGAAGAACTGAAATTTAGAACGTAAGTTTATTTATTGTAGATAAGATATTCGGAATCTATCAGCAGAAGGCTGAAGACCAAAAAGGGTAGTCCGAAAACGGTAGACGTTCGGATACTTTTCTTGAAAGTCGGTCATTTTTTTAAAAAAATCTGTGAGCTCGGACACACACCCAAGCATGATGACACTACGGCCTCTTACTTGAAGTAAACACAAGTTTGGAAAGAAAACTCCATATTTATTTTTGCGTTAATTTTTTTATAAACAACCTATTACTTTGTTAGCCATGTTTAACCAAAATAAACACGATAGAACATTCACTTTAAGAAACTGATAATTGCACACCTGGTCAGGGAACCTCTCGGCTTTTGTGGATCCCTTAAATTCAATCGACCACATCACCATACTCAATTCCTCTATAGTAACATTTAATATTCTTTCATCTCACCCTCTTTCAATAGATTTCCCTGATAATCTTTGGCGAAGAGCAGTATGCAAATTGTGAATTTTCTTATTTTGCAGTTTTCCCAAACCTCCTGGTACTCTCTGTGTTTTACGTACAAATATTCTTCTTAGCGCCCTATTTTCAAACACTGCTACATTCCTCCCTCCAGGTGACAGGCCTAGTTATAAAATTATACACATAGTGTATTTTAATCTTTAAGTTCCTAGATGTAAGACAGAGAGAACTGAACTGATAGTTAAACATTCCCCAAATCTTTCTTAATTTCTTTAACACATGACACATTCAAGGTCAGTAATATATATATATATATATATGAAGTATTTTGGTAAATACGTTGCATACAGAATGTTTGAATACAAATGGTGAAGAAGTTTATGCTTCTGAGCAAATCAACGAGATCTTTCACAGAGGCTATACTTTTCAAAGTTTACATACTTAACTCCAAAAAAAACTGTATATTTCTGGATCCAGTGGTTTTCACACGTGCAATTTGTGTTTGACGCAAAACACGTCACATCTAAAGAAGTTGAAGGAGGAATGTCAGTTTGGATAGCTTAGCAGGACACAGAGATTCTTCAGTCACGTCTTTTATTAATTCTCTCTCGTTTGTTATAGAAAAACGAGCAAAAGTACAAAAATTAAAATGTACACATTATTTACAATCATTGGACAAGAAACAATAAAGCTAAAGTGAATTGTACAATCCAAATTCTGTCATCAGCAGAGATTCCACTTTCGTTCCTCTTAAATAGTATTACACTATTATATGCAGGGAGATGTTTCATATTTACAGGTTTTGTACTTCTCACTACCGATCAGCCACTTCCTAAACTACAGAACAGTTCTAGCCTCTAACCTCTAACAGTCATTTGTGTTATCATCCCTGTTATGTTTCAGTCTAACATAAATTGTTGTTACAACAACTTAAATTTTATCAGTTTTCTGTGCAGTGAAACTTGTACACATTTCTGAATCAACCTTACAGCTAATATGTATGTCGTATGATATGTCTGATTACAATTTGGCGCCATCAGTGATTTTACACTTGTATGATTTGAGGTTTTCACAGCGGTGAGTATGAAGATTTCTGTCTTCTGTGTTGTTGCGCCGTGTAGTCTGGTCGATGTTTACCAACGTTTCAGAGGTCATACTGCCTCCGTCATCATCGCCCTGATGACGGAGGCAGTATGACCTCTAAAACGTTGGTAAACATCGACCAGACTACACAGCGCAACGACCCAGAAGACAGAAATCTTCGATTTTACACTTGTTATTAAATGTTTATTGTGGTCCGCCATGAATGTGTTGAGAACAGTTCGTAAGGCGCCTTTGAACCTGCGTATAAGTCCTCACACATTTAAGCCAAACAATCCCTAAATTATAATAAGTGATCATGTGAGTTTTTCATTTAACACATTTTCTACCGAAGATGGCAATTTACATAAAAAAGCACGTTCAAGGATTTCAGTAACAGCTTGTGATGTCACAGCTACTTCTGATCATTTGCTGGTTTCTTAAAGTAGCTTCATCCAGTTTCTGCAAAACCTTCATAGATCATAAAACAAGCTTTGAGAAATCAAAGCATCTTATCATGTTCTGGTTTTGAAAATATGTTTGCCACCAGAGTTTGTTTTTACCGTCAAATCCTCGGCTCCTAGCTAATAAGCTTAGTATGGCTGTGTAAATTTCTTTACAAAATTATAAAACTAACAGAGGAACATTTTTAGGTTTGCCATGTGGTTGTGTTCTATACCATACACTTAAAATTATAAGCTGAACTCAGCCCGTTATCATCTATACCTATACAAGACCAGTTTTCAAATTAAAATGCATTTACGCTACAACCATTCAGAAAATTAAATTACTTTGAGAGAAGTATCGTGCACATTATTGACTTCTCATAGCCTCAACACGTGGTTTATATAACAAAATAAAGGGAAATACTAGATATAAGTTAATAATAATATTAAAAATAATTACTTGCAAATATTGTATATACATAAAGTAATAGCACTAATGACAACAATGTAGGTGTTTCTTCTCTCTCAGTAGAAAGAACTCGCCGGTAACCCCGATTTCAAACAAAGTTTTTTTAGGTTGGTAGAAGCTGTACATGTTACCGTTTATTCATAAAATAACATTAGTTTTAATAATTCTGCCAGCTAGGGTATTGTAATGTTATATCTTACACAACTAATTTATCCCCATTTGTTTTTATATTTCTGCCAAAATGATTTCCAAAACTACCTAATCCTTGATACTTCTGGGTCCTTCCAGCACTGCTTTACCATCTATTTAAAGAATTCAGTTTGTATACTGTTTACTCAAAACTCCTTAACGATGTTAGTAGCTCTAAGACAGTTCATGGTATCATTTTAATCAGTCTTCTGTCACTGTTTCATTGAACTTTTAAAGTTCAGTTGATGTTTTCATATTATGCTACAGAATATTTTATCCGCATTTGGATGTCACAGATGTGTTATCTGAATTCCATTCTTG